CTAATGACCTCGATCTCACACACACACACAAAGTGAAGCTGCATCTAAAATAGACCGGTATCGCGCATGAGTGTCCATTACTGTAATGTGTGCGTTTCTCGTTACGTGATCGTGACCGGGTCCTGTTGCCGAATTTCTGCGGCAGCAGGAGCGTGTCCCGACCGTTGACGATTCGGACACATCGGCTGAATGTTGCTTGGTTTCCTTCAGCGAAGAGGCTAAAGGGATACAAAAAAATAGTCATTTGTCAAATGTGGGTGGATGAGAGGCTCCAGTCCCGTGGTGAGCGTGGCCAATGCCACTAAACCTCAAGGCCGTTCTCTAACACGTGGCTTGGTTGGTTTGACCAGATGAGAATGCATGATACCAGGATAGTCTCAATTAAAAGTTTCCCCTGGGGTGATGCTACATCAATTTTTTTCGATATGGAATTGGCTTTGTCGCGTGGCGATAACACCAATAGGCCGATGGGAATACGTCCGATAACAAAAAAATACAAAAAAGCTTCTCACGTAAAGACCAAAACCAATTCAGCGAGGGGTGTCGAAGTCGTGCCACAATTGCAGACTATCGGCGGTATCACATTTGGAGAGTACACAGAGAGTGTGTGTTGTTCTGTTTCCGTAATTTTGACATTCTGTATACCATGACTCTTATTATGTTATTCTGTATTGTACTACATTAGTAAGTGAATTGTGTTACGTTTTGTATGCTACGAGAGTTTTCCTGTTACCATAGGTTACTATGTTATTACAGTTCTAATTTACACTTTAATGTAACGTACTGTTATAATTGCTACCACTGATTGCTGCTTTAGTGGCGACAACTTGGGGAGGCCTTCATCTAGCAGTTGATCGATCACTGCTGATGACAATGATGAAGCAACCTACGAGTCCTATTGCAGTTGCGTTCAAAAAAGATGTGCTTACAAGATGTATATGCCACTCCGAAGGCAATTATGGATTGCCCATCACTTACTGCTCACACCTGTCCTGACAATCGATGAAATCCGTGGCAGAGTGGGTGCCACCGACGATGCTAAATTGGGCGCCTCCGATGATGTTTAATTGCCTAAGATGCATGCTTTTTTAATGAACGTGAAAGCCAAGCGCAGCGCGCTGGGAGTGAATCCCTTGAGTGAGGCGCATTTCTCTGGAGTGCGGCCAGGGGTTATTATAGGAATCATAAAATAGTGCAGCTGTCCTTATCAATATGCAGCTGATGCAGCACACTGTGTGTGTCATCCGTGTCCATGCACAAGCCTGCAAGGTGCCATGCACATGAACTCGTATAACCCTTATCTCTGCAGCAACGCTCATGATTGCAACGTGCAGTGCTTTGCGTTCACATACATGTACACGTAAATAATTATACATTTATATTTAATGTTTAGTGAATTAAATATGATGTCGCATTATCGCCAAACTGATTTCAGGAGGGTCATTTTGTAGATATTCTGTCTATTTGTTTTGAAGTATGCGTCTCTCTGCAGTGTATCACCAGCTGCTGATGAATACAATACTTCGTATTTGTTATAATTTCGCTTGTTCACCGAGGAAAGCCTCACTGCGTCTCGTGACTCTTCTTCTGGAGGGCGATGATTGCGATGTATAATTCCCGTTGAGTAATTTGCGGGTCATTTTTTTAAATGTGCCAAATATGGACCTTGACGCGAGCAACACAATGGCCTACTCTTACGAATGCCGTCATACGGGATCTGTGATGTCTTACTGTGACCAAGATGGTGCGATTGTTACACCAGCAGTATTACTACAGCGCGGCCAATGGATTCGAACCGTGTCGCTCTCGGACAAGTTGGTGAATGAGCTATCACTGGGCCACATCACCGCCCAATGAAACTCCTTCATTTACGATCAGTCAAGAGCCCATTGATAGCATTAGTGGTCAGCAGGGTGGCAAGAAGTCCCTGGGTTCGATTCCAGACTTGGGCTCCTTAACAGTGTGGAGTTTGTATGTTCTCCTTCTGTTCTGCGTGGGTTCCCTCCAGGTCCTCTGAAAAAAAATAAGAACGTAAAATGTATTGACCAAATATCCAAATGCTGACTAATTAACAGCAAACTACTCAATTGGGATAACACATAGCAACATCGCCCACGACTGTGAAAACTTAGCAAGACCCTCCTGAAAATACTATTGAGACTCAATGAGGCTTTCCAGGGTAAACAGGCATAGTAATCATAATATTAATACAATTTATGTTTTTCGAAGGAGACCCAGGTGAGAATAAACACATCGTAACAACTCGGGCACGGGTGCAACACATTAAAGCGTCGAATCAAGCAGCGTCTCTCTAGTGCAACACTCTAGCTTGAAATAGCGAACTAAAAGTTCTGGCGTGCCACAAATTGAATTCCCAATTAAACATCACCACAGCTAACATGTTGCAAAGTGCAACAAAGCCCTGTGTTGTTCCATCTTGCACCCTGCGATCTGCCTACTCGCCCCTCCCCAGTCCTTTCCTCGTCGTTTCTCCGGTGTAGCTCCGGCCACGTGGAATTCACGTCGGCGTCAGACTTTTGTTACAATCTTTAGCCCTTTCTATTTCTCTAATTTATTCTCCCGTGCCTCTGAATTTCCCTTTTTAAGCTCAATTAGTTGTTCGTGTTACAATTAGTTTTTATCAATGTGATGAACGAACGAATGAATGATATGGCACCGTACTTGTCAATAAAAAGGGGATCTGAAGTGTAAACAATGATGCAACATGCAATGACTTATTGATGATAATTGTAGTCAACAATAATGTTATAGGTTACTGAGAAAATATGTTTGGTTGCAATGACTTAATATCAGGCTGAAATGTTTTCATTCATTATAAAAGCACAGAAATAGGACGGGAGCATCGACAGACACCGACAGTATGTATGTTGAACATCTTTCGCACCGTACGTAGCCAACCGTGATAATCCGAGGTGCGCACAGAAAGAGAACTTGCATCAGAATTCATAACAGGACAGAGAATAAAGCCCACGAGTGAAAAAAAGAGTCCTGTATATTCTTCCCAGTGCTTTACAGCAATCGCGTTCCATTACATCTGGCTAAATTTAGGAGTTACATTGCTGAAGACTAAAAAAATAGATAAATATGAGCATATATTTAACATTGTAACACCACAACGTTGCCATTAACCATCATATTTATTCGTGTGTATTTACATTTATATTCAGAAATGTCAGTGTACGTTCGCGTGTTTGCCGTCAACACTTTGTGTGTGTGTATGGTCAATTTGCAAGGGAGTGGAAGCCACGTGGGGGAAAGCAGCTGACACGATGATAAAACACATTTTCGGGATGCGTTCATCAGCACTCAAGAGGGCATAAACATCTGTGCCTTCCTTTAGAAGCAATAACCACTCTTGCCTGACATCAGTGTTTTTGATACATTGGCATCATCAGTATTGCCTTCATAGCATTACAGCTTCGTGCGTGATCATAATTAGATGGCTACATACGGTGCGAAAGAATGTCATCATAAATTCCTCTTGATATGCAAATTCTTCCCTCTCCAACCCAGCTTAAATATACGCTGCCAAGCCTGGTGGTGTTTATTCAGATGCTGTCTTTCCGACAGACCTGTTCTTCACCTGAGGACGGCTGCTTGCGTTGTGGCCGAAACGTCGTGAGAATTATTTTATTATGTTTTATTTTTATTATTTTATTATTTCCCTTCTACGTGACTTTACCGAAAGAACCAAGAAGATGAATCCCTGCAGTCACGAAAGCTTTAAATCGAAATTTAATGTCATCATACATCATCATCTCAAGACTTTCCTCTTCTAAGATAGTAATTGACTGTCTTTCCATGAACTTTATTTAAACTAATTTACTGCAATCTGTTCCTCCCTTGACGACTTCACCACCACCCACGACTGATGACACCAAACGCTCCATTGCTATTCACCTTGGTTATTTCGATTCTGCTTTTTTAAATGGACATAAACATTTGAAGTCTAAATAATTATCAATGTTAAAACGAACTAAACGATGTTCATGGTTGCACTTTAATACACGTAGTGATGCAATGGCGTGAATGACCACATCTCCTCGAGGATGTCTTTCAAAGCCTCGCAGCGACTTCTGGCTAAGCCATCGAACAAGACGGCGGTCACCGCATCGCGCGGCGCTCTCAGATGCGCTCCTGCAGCCGTCTGGAACGCTCTTCCTTCTGATATTAGGAAGCCACTGGAGCTATGCACTTTTTAATCAAGTAGATTGAAAACGAATTTTTGTAGAACTGCTTTGTGTGTTTAGTTTGTCGTCCTTCCCAGCACCTCCGGTTAGCACGGTTGGCTACGTACGGTGCAAAAAAAGTTCAACATACACGCATGCAGTGGCACAGTATTGCATTTGAACCGTTGTAAAGCATGTCATTCCGTCTCATCCAGATTATATGATGCTCCTGAAAGTAAGACGCATCACAAACATGTGCCCGATGTGAATAAACTGATACAAATATAGCCACACACACATCTTTTGATTAAAATACGGGAATGGCAACCCAGAGAATATGCAACACCTTGGTGGTGACCCCCTCCACATCAATTCTACTCGTACAGCAAATAACAGCTCAATTAAAACGGTTATTCCATAAATTACTCTTATTGGCCACACAAGATTGGAAGTACTGCAGTTATGCCAGCTCAGGTGGTATTGATAAGTGAAATATCTGCTCTGGGCTCATGGGCCATCAACTCTGAGCTATTTCAGGTTTGATAGTGCTGTTTGTTGCTGACCACTCGGCATGTTAGGCGTGTTGTGCCTGTACTCGGCACCTTTTAAATCCAGATTGAAAACTAATTTCTTTAGAATTTCTTTTGGTGTTTAGTTTGTTGCCCTTCCCCCGCACCTCCAACGAGCACGGTTGGCTGCGTACGGTGCGAAAGAAGTTGAACACACATACCTGTGTGAAGTAAATAAAAAACGAACCATAAGGCCGCTGCGCTAACGAGGCCCTGGCAACGCCGCTGGGGTTTGCTCCAGGTGACTGCTGGGTCCTGGCAGCCATCGCTTGCATGACCTTGAACGAGGAGCTGCTGGCTCGCGTCATCCCGGCAGGACAGAGCTTCGAGGAGAACTACGCCGGCATCTTCCACTTCCAGGTGGGCACCCACCCCTGCCGAGTCACGCCGACCAATGGTCCCCAATCCTTTCCTACTGGCACATCCGAGCCGAGCTAGTGCGGAGCACCCAGACTGTAGGTGTTTTTTTTCCCAGGGTCTATTTGCCGTGTCGTGACCAAACCATGGCCCTACGAGATGCCTGGAAGTCTCCAGGCAAGGCTTATTTTCAGCTGCGGGTGCTGCAAGGTGTAATTGTTGAACACGCTGGACTTTTCAATGCTGAGGTCACTGGTTGAATGTCCCAGGGAAACAGTTGAAACGATGAGGCAAGTTGGTAACACCACAGTTAGCCAATCGGCAGGTCGTGCATGGTGCGGGTACTCCCACTTCTTCCAAGACACCTGTCCAGCACTAAAGAGTATGTCAAAGTACCCTCCAGCAGGGCTTTGTAGAGCCCCCTCGAGTATAGGCCCTTCTGACAGCAGTGACGCCATTCACTGCAGAGCTGCACCTTTCACCACTTTTATATCTGGGTCGGCAACCTGGAAAGCATTTTCTGCGCGTGGCACATCGTATCCATTCTACGTCTCGCTGTGGCTGAGGCTACTGGTCACGTGTCTACTCGAGCATCACAGACGACCTTGGGAAGGTGATAAATGGAATCCTGTTTGAGCCGGACGCAAGTGGTGCACACCTGCGACCCAGCGCTTAGAAGGCAACTCCCGGCGGATCTCGTACATTTGCAAAACGCCTAAAGCTGCTGAGCCGTGTCGTAGTCAGGCCACGGCAGTATAACAAGTGGGTTTGTGAACCCCATCTGCTTGTACTTTTGATCGTGTATCCCTTTGTATGCATGCTGGGTTGTTAGCCGAGTGCTCTGATTTCCTTACACGTGCCAAACCTTCAATAAATACAACTGGATTGTCCAAACAGTTTAATGGAGGACTCTACTGAAATTTGAGACACAACAGAAGTTTTCGTAAATGTAATTATTATAATTATCAGTTGGCATCATAGTAATCAACACCTATGTATCTTCCATGATGCGGATATCCCTTATGCCTTTGAGGCCTTTCAGCAGAACGAGCCATATGTCAGTGAGTGAATCTTAACATTGCACAATTATTTTGTTAATTAACCAGTATTAACATAGCTCATGAGTTCAGGTGCCGAGTGCTGAGTTCTGATCTCCCAAATGCCAGCTTGCATGCAGGGACTGCACTGAGAGATGGAAAGAGGAACACGTGGATTATATAACATCGTGACTTAATGACATCATTTGTGAAGAAATGGCAGTGGGCATGGGAAGAAATGGTCGTGGGCATATCGGCTGATTCTATGAATGGTTCTTTTGACCCGAACGCCCCACCCAACCCCGCCCCCTCTAGTTCTGGCGCTTTGGCGAGTGGGTGGACGTGGTGGTGGACGACCGACTGCCCACTTTCAACAACCAGCTGGTGTTTGTGCAGTCGGCCGAGCGTAATGAGTTCTGGAGCGCCCTGCTCGAGAAGGCCTATGCCAAGTGAGACTCGTTGCTTTTGAATCCAGATTGAAAACGAATTTCTTTGGAACTTATTTTTTGTGTTTAGTTTGTTGTCCTTCCCCGCACCTCCAATTAGCATGGTTGGCTACGTACAGCGTGAAATAAGTTTTATATATACATACATTGCTGCACATCCCTCCACCAGTTTTGGTTTTCCCAGGATCATCTCTTTGCAGGTCTGGGAAATATGTAAGTATTCCCGTGACATTAAGCACCATTGTTTTGTGTTAGTTGTGTAATAAAACTCCACGAAAGACAAAAACAACTATTTTCCACTCTTCTGATATTGTAAGAAAATTTTCTTCCAATGACATGTCCCGGTTTTTTCTGGAATTTAAAAGGTGGCAACCTTATTTATTTACTAGCTGCCCACAAACCCCTACCGCTCATTCGCATGGCCACTGGGAACCACGCTCTGACAGCCCAGGAATGATCGGTACAGGGGCCTGGGTTCACGTCCCCCATGTCCCTTGAGCCACAAGGTTCCCTATCCTCAACTCCTCCTGGAATGCCCCCTGGTGCCCTCCTCGCCCTCCGCAGCCAGAGCTGGGGTCAGGAAACAGTAGGAGCATGGGCCACATAAAGACAGTCACTGCATCGCGCGCTTTTAGATGCGCTTCTGCGGCCGTCTGGAACGCTCTTCCGATAATAGGAAGTCACTGGAACTATTCACTTTGAATTCTAGATTGAAAACTAATTTCTTTGAAACTGATTTTTGTGTTTAGTTTGTTGTCCTTCACCCACACGTCCGATTAGCACGGTTGGCAACGTATGGTGTGAGAGAAGTTCAATACATTATAAGGCCAATATCAAGTTCTTGTGGAAATTTGTCACGTGACTCATTGGACATGCAAGTAATGCAGCAGAGGCTCTCAAGAGGTATAAAGATGCACTGATTCATCGGTTAATGTTGATTGTTAAGCTTTCGGCGTACACATCGAATGGCGTGTGTAAGAATAATTTTATTTTTTATTTGTAGTATTTAATGGGTTCACATGACCTTTCAAGCTGCGAGCTACCACCGCATTCACCAGAACATGTATATATACACACAGAAAGAATTGATTCTCGAAATAAAAAGGCAACCCTAAATCGCTAGGGGTCATTGAATCACCAAGGGGTGAATTGTCACACGTCTATGGTCCAGTGACCTCGCAACAAAATGTGATTGTGCAACACCTATTACTGATGCCTCTACGTCAATGCACGTGCTGGTTACCATGCAAAATGATTTTGCTGTGCAGTGCTGAGTGTCCCATTGTGTTTGTGGAAGAGGATCCACAAACACTCAGCCTCAAATGAGTAACTAGTGCGTTGTGTAAACATCGCCATGAGGGATGCAAAGGCGGTCGGGCATGGTGCTGGCCACCCACCCACTCGTGTGCCGTGCCGGTCTTCATAGGTGCTTGCTGACAGCACTTGCTCTTGCAGTCTGCTAAGGCTATACGGGGGATCTTTGTCTGTGTGGAGGGCTCTTGCCTTTTAAAAAATACCGCAACAGCAATTGTTTAACAGTCCATAGTTTTCCTTCTTGACTAAATAATGATCGACCATTTTGGTCCAGAAGTGTAAATAGTATTTCATTTTATTTTGTCTACTTATTTCTGATTTAATGACGGTCACCGCATCGTGCGCTTTCAGATGGGCTTCTGCGTCCGTCTGGAATGCTCTTCCTTCCAATATAGATTGTTTAAAATTAGGAAGCCACTGGAGCGATCCACTTTAAAATCTAAATTTAAAACTCATTTCTTTAGAACTGTTTCTTGTGTTTAGCTTGGTGACCTTCGGCTATGTACGGTGCGAAAGAAAGTGAAACATACAGTGCATACCTCTTGCTTGATTCCACAAACCCTTGCCCTCATAAAGCACTGCATTACAATCGCGCGCAACCGCAACCGGTCAGCTTGCCTGTTGTCGCTGTGTGATCGCGACGAATACAAACACAGGGTCCATGGCTCCTACGAGGCCCTGAAAGGAGGGAACACGACCGAGGCCATGGAGGACTTCACGGGCGGTGTGACGGAGTACTTCGAGATGAAAAACCCTCCCAAGGATCTCTATAAGATCATGGTGAAAGCAACGTCCCGTCGCTCACTCATGGGCTGCTCCATCGACGTAAGCGGAAAAGCACAATTATAGCAATATCAAAGGAAACTCTAAGACACCAAGCACGTTCACTATAGCTTCAATTGACGTCCGCCTACATTTAGGGGCTGTCGCTTGCAATTTTGAAAGCTTGATTGGCTCTTTTAGTCAAGCCCCACGAGGTTCACATGTAATTTGACGAATCAATATGCCATTTGGATGAGCAGTAATTAGGAGAGTTATCATGATCCCGCCCCTACTGAGACAGGCGGACAGACGGACAGAGCTAATGCATTCAAAAGTAACACTGGGGACCTGTCTAAGCACCTCTGTAATAATCAATTGCATTTATAAAGCGGCTCTCTTTAAGGTACTCAAAGCAACACGTCCATCGTTGGCGGGGGAGGGTGCGGGGGCAATACTTAAGAAGTACCGGTGCTAATTTGGGGAATCTGGGCCGTTAGAAGACGTGCACCTGCTGTTGCTGCTGTGCCCACGCCTGTGCCCAGGATGGGATGTGCTGGCGCTGCGGGATCCCGGCTCCCGACAGCGTCGGCCTCGTCCGCTCCAAGTGCGACAGCTGCTGCGACGAAGAGGACCACGACCACGACCACGAGGGCGAGCAGGAGCAGGACCACTCGCACCTGCACCCCCCGGCCCAGGCGAGCGGTGGCTCCCCGCTGGCGCGCGGCTTCCCGCGCACCCCGTTCTCGGCGCTGCCGGACCCCTTCTCGCCGGGGCCTGGAGCGTCGTCAGCACAGGGAGGCGACATCAAGTTTGACTTCCCCGACGGAGGCGGAGGAGGACGCAGCCTGACCAGGGATAGCAGCGTTAGCGGCCCCATCACGCCCAAGGTGACCGCCCGCCAACGCGGTGGGAGGCGCGCGGTGGGGAGATATTAACTCCCACGGCCGGTGTGCAGGAAGTCGTGGGTTTGATCCTGACCTTGACGCCTGTTGTATATTTGGAGTTTGCGTGCATTCCCCGTGGTCGAGTGGATTTTTCTCCAGGTCCTCGGGTTTTTCCCTTCCACTTTTAGAAAGGTGCATTTAGAGTATTTGGCTGCTATAAATTTGCACATGATAAGCCACATGTTTAGTTTGTCCTTCCCCCGCACCTCCGATTAGCACGGTTGGCTATGTACGGTGCGAAAGATGTTCAACACGCATACATACAACTAGCAGATGCCGAGGCAGCCGCCCCATAACAGCTGCAGATGAGATTGTTTGCATGACTTAGATCAAATAATCTCATCAGGCCTTTGATGTTGAGCAGGCCTGAGTCTGGATAGTGCTTGGAAAACCAGACCCACAGTTGGGCTCTCTTGTGTGCAAGGCCCATGAAAAATTGCCTTCTTCTACAGTCACATCATGATGAACCAGATGTAGTCAGAACATGCTCAGGTTTTAAAATACATTGATGTCTTTTTTTAGATTTGGCAGGTCATTAGATGAGGTTTCAGATGTGAATCAGCAGTTGGTCTATTTATATCAGCAGATTTAAACTGCTGCACTGCCATGGACACTCATGGCTTCGATCGCAACATTAAAAGAAAGGTAGCAGCCATGCAGTTGTTAGCGGACTGCGTTATGCACCAGTCGACTTGAGGTGTTCTTCCTGTTCACGGCTAACATCAGTGGCGATATCTAAAACACATTCCTGCGGAGGGAGCTGGTAGGAACGTCGGGTTGCTCTGTCAATGGCCAGGGTCAACGGCGGCGTGGTGTATTCCAAAAATATGCCTGACTGTGAGGGCGGGCACAAGCCGGCGTGAGTAGGTTAAACGTTGAGTTTTATAAGGGCACCACGGGGTGACCAGCCCCTCCCCACCCAGCCCCACCCCTCCCACCCCCCACCCAGCCCCACCCTTCCCACCCAGCCCCTCCCCTCCCCACCCAGCCCCACCCTCCCCATCCAGCCCCTCCCCACCCTCCCCTCCCCACCCAGCCCCTCCCTCCCCTCCCCACCCAGCCCCTCCCTGCACGACCGACACAATAATCCCCTGTGGGCTAGTGTAACCTGGCGGTTCCTAACAGTACCAGGATGTCACTCCCCCATAGGAAGCCATACTTATCAGTTTGGTGAAGTCTGGGAAAACATCCTCCATGACCAATACGGTGTTTACGCGTGTGTGTTGAGACCTTCATTCCGTCGTGGACTGACAAAAGTGTGGATTTAAATTGATTTATTATTAACATTCAAAAGTCACAATTATGCTTGAACTTCCTTTTAATAGAATTCAACTAACACCAATAGGAATCAAGTGTCTTGTGTTTCACCAGGTAAGAACTCACGAGACCAGTATACAGGAGTCTCATTTGGAAGAGTGACCTGGGGGCATTCGTCTGCCCATGGGTGGTGACGGTTGCCAAGTATCATCCCAAATTAGTAATTTGCGGGTCATTTTGAATTGGGCCAATTTGGACCCTGATGGAATATTCTATCATGTTAATATCAATGAAGACACCCTCACCAGGGTGTGGATATACATGCATGTGTTTGCTCGTGATAAAATACTGCAGCCGCTGCGTTTGTGCTCTTCACGTTATCTTCATGGTGATCACGAGCGGCAATGTTGGTCCTGAAATATCATCACCAGCAGCAGCAGCAGCAGAGGCTCACCTAGAGGGGGGCAACATTTTTTTTAAAGTTTTCAGTTTCATTTATTAGGTATAACCCTGTGAGCCATTCGGCTCTTGAATCGGGTGCAACCGCAACAAACAAGAAACAAAAACATGAACAAGAAAAGGGGCGGATACCCCATGCCCCCCTCCCCCAAAATGTTTATATGACCAATGCGTGTCATAGGATAATAAAAAAAGCAATGAAGTACACTTGTAAATATATAATCATGGTTGATGTGTGTTTTATTTTGATATATTTTATATGATGCAACATTGATTTGTTTTATTAGCCTATGACACGCAATGGGCATAAACACATTTTGTTTGTTGCGGTTGCACCCGATTCAAGAGCCGAATGGCTCACAGGGCCATACCAAATAAATGAACTTGAACTTGAACAAACGTATGCTATATGAAATATGTTGTTTGCAGAGCGACTTGGTACTCTTGGTAGGAAAATTATTGAATAATCACCATCACCCACTCAGCAATACATCTCAATCCTGCACGTGAATGCATCTCCTGAAGTCATAACTTAACAACGTTGAATTGCTGGATCATTTATGAAAACAGTCTGTGAGTGTACACTCACAAAACTGTGGAGCAGGACACACGGATTGTCCACAACGTGAGCACCGACACACGGCGCACGATAACCAGTCGTAGAGATCTTTTAACTTTGTCCAAATTTTTGTCCCGCCCGAAGGTTTTCAGACGTCACGCTCATCTCATGATGAGGACACAGGGCAGTGCTACCCGAGAAGTGGGCACAGTGGGCAGATGAGTAGGCCGGACCTCTAAACAGTAGGCCAGGCCAATGTAAGACAGAAAAGGGCTGCCCGATTGCCATACGTCTTGGTTGGAGCCTTCCAGAAGTACGGTAGCCTTACCGAAGAGGGACCTCAACACGTGCTTCTAAACCTTTGTTCCCTCTCCCATCTCAAATGTCTCCCCACAGATCGCCATGTTGACGCATGCAGAGTCGCGGACGCCCATGGGGCTCGTGCGAAACCACGCCTACTCCATCACGGGCTTGGACGAGGTCGACGTCCCTTCCCACCGCCGTCGCACGTTCATCGCCAGCCGAGATCACCTCCACTCACGCTGCATTTACGCAGCCGCCAGGGGGGGGGGGGGGGAAGGGTCATGGTGAAGTTCACAACCCCGGGGGGTAGCCAGCTCGGGGCCATGCTCCCAACGCAGTCCTGCGGCGCCGAACCCGACCTGCAATGGGCTCATGGGAGAGGGTCCAGCAGCTGTTTTTTTTGTAAACCGAGTCACATGCTTATGTGTCACCCGATGTGCCCAAAGCTGGCCTCAGAATCTGTTGTAATGTCACCGAGTCAATGCGGAGGCTGGCAGCGGGGTCAACGGCATCCTTCGCCTGGGCCATCTTACTCGCAGAAATAAAAGCGTATCAGCTCCGAAAAGCCTAACCTAACCCTGACCTGTGTTTCCTGAGTCTCTCAGCCTGGCTGCAGAGGGTAGAGAAGGGAGGCAGGGGAGGATGGGGCATGGGGGAGGACGCGTGAGGGTCTGAGCTCCTGGAGCCCCATGGCCTTTGAAGTATGGGGACTTGGATGCAGACTGCTCTGCTGATCCTGGGATGCAAGTTGGTGGTCATAGAATTGTAGCATTTGCGGCTCAAAGCCTTGAGTGACAGTGGTGCAGGTTCTTTGTGTGCTGTTGTAGTGATGAAGGAGATACACTAATGTAGAGCGATACCATTTAAAAGGAGGAACAAGAAAAAGCTGAAGTGCCATTAATGTCCACAGGTACATTTAGGTCTGTTCTCATCTACGGTCTCATTGGACCAGTTGAACTTTTATCGTTCTTGGAGGAGGGACGAGTTTTGTGTTTATCTAAATTACTCATTCATTGTAAACCTAACCCATGTTTGCCAGCACAGAGTCAACATCGATTTGACATTCTAGTACGAGGTGAATTTGCGACTACTTTGTGCCAGCCCGAACAGGTAGCCCACTGAAATCGCTCGCCCCAGCTGTCTGCACGCCAAATTCTGTGGTGCCTCTGCCTCTGTTCTGTGTTCACGTGTGACGGACGTGCAGGTGAAGCATCGCAGCAAGATCGTGCAGCTGGTACGACTGCGAAACCCATGGGGTCACGTGGAGTGGATCGGGCCGTGGAGCGACGCGTGCGTGACAGTGTCAATGTCTTTTCCACATTTTTCTGCTCGCTCTGATCCACCTTGACCCGACCGGTTGAGCGTCACCCGCCTCCACCCACCCTCTTCCTGGCACAGTTCTCACCCCCGCCCTCCGTTCGCTGGCTTGTACAATGGTTCGACAGCTTTTGCTGACTGCTGTAACAAAGGGAAACCAACTGATATACAATAGGTGGAAACGAGAAAGTAAAATTAGGAATGAAGTTTGGGTGGATCAGAGGAGGGACCGCAAAGCCACAAACGTGATGCCAAGGCTTGAAAGGAGCAGCGGCTTGACTTCTGCGACCCTTGTATCGTCCGTGTTGTTATTCTGGAGAGGCTCTGCAGTTGCAGTGGGTGCTGCAGTCATGTTTAAAGTCGTACTCATTATACACAAAGTGCTTGCTACAAATCAAGCACAATACCGTGCTGATCTCGTCAAGGAGCATAAACCATCATGGGAACTCCGGTCATCCTTTCAGCGGATTTTGGCTAGCCACTGAACAAAGACGGTCACTGCATTCCATGCTGTCATATGTATTTCTGCGGCTGTCTGGAGCGCTCTTCCTTCCAATATTAGGAAGCCACTGGAGCTATGCACTTTTATATCTAGATTTAAAACTAATTTCGTTGGAACTGCTTTTTATGTTTAGTTTGTTGTCCTTCCCCCGGACCTCCGATGAGCATGTTTGGTTATGTACGGTGCGAAAGAGTTAAACGTACATGCGTGCACACAAGCTACGAAGGCGTTTGCCGAATCTCCAAGCAGAGGTTGCACGCGTTACAATAAGCCGTACGGGGCTATCTGTGGTGATTGACTTCCAGCTAGTTCCCTCCAGATCAGCGACCCGGAAAATATTTCCGTATCTGGCACACACGTCCAGTAGACCTCGTCACGTGCCTACGTCATTCTCCAGTATATTCAGTAAGTCATTCAACGCTATGTGCACATAAAGCTGATCTAATTATTAATTGATTAACATTGATTTGCATACTCGCTTTACATGTGTAGGGACGCAGATCGGAGACAGTAATACTTGGATTAACTTATTTTATTTAACAAGCACCATCGGGATGATACACACCATGCGTGGGTGCACACTATTACAATTAAGAACGTCTATTGTTAGAGCAGTTGGCAGGCTGTCTGACTAACAGCACCCCGGGATGGCGAAGGCAGAGATGACGACGAGGAGATGGTGACGACGGTGATTTTGAGTGGCACGAACGGTCGTGCCGCTCAAAATCACCGTCGTCACGGGAGCTCGTGGCTGTTGCTGGAAGTGGGATCCCCGGATCCCACTTCCAGCGACAGCCCCGAGCTCCCGCTCAGGGCCCCCTCTTTTACTCTCAGCGTGGTCTGGCTCCGCCCCTGCCACGCCCCCTTCTAGAACCTACCAGCGGGTTCCCGGGGCTTCCCGATGGGCCCCCCTCTGTGACCTTTCCCCTTTAGATGTCCCCCTCTCATATATATCGTGGCCTGCTGAAGCGACTACTGCCCTACACCGAAGTTACCCTTTTCCACCAGCAGCCAACGCTATACTACTACAGATGCATGATAATGTACTATTTACACAAATGTTACGCTCTTCCATTTAGGCTCACGGACGAAACAAAACGTTTTCTAATCAGACTAAACGAATGATGATAACAATAATCATTTGAACTTGTAATGCGCCGCAGAGCGCTCGCTCGCTCGTAGAGAGAGAGAGAGACTCAGAGTCACGAGGAGGAACCACAGACGAGTGGGAAAGGGCAGCAACAGCCAGGCGGTGACCCGGCACCAATAATTGTCCAAGCTTTGTGGTCCTCTCTATATATACATGTGCAGATGTTTCCAGCTAATTAACGAGTGTTCAAGTTTAAGTTCATTTATTAGGAATAGCCCTGTGAGCCATTCGGCTCTTGAATATGGTCAAACCGCAACAAACAAAAAAAACATGAACTGGAGTGCCTGAATTGGTACATGTCAACTCGGCACGTCATTATTCAGTTCAAGGATTGATTCTCGTCCATCGTACTGAATGGATTATCTCTCGTGCCTGTGAAGCTTTGACATGCAAGGGATACAAAAACACAAAACATTCTTACAAAATGATTGCGCGTAATGTCAAATTTTTATCGACGATTAAACGCATCGTTACACACCCATACTGCCACGTGTGCTAAGCAAAGAGCAAAACCACCTCAACACCGTGCACCCATTAGCCCTTCATTGAGGCAGCGAAATAAACAGCAGGCTAACAATTTGGACATTGGTCCTCTTTCAGAAAATCACGGCCAGAGGCGGGGGGCGAAACGTTGCAACGCCACACCCGTCGCCCTGTTACTGGGCAGCGCCAATGATTATTATGTCGGAGTGATCTGTGTGAACGCTGGCATTTATTGGCCTGTTGTAAAGTTGTATTTTTCTAACCCCCCCCCCACTTTACAGCTCCAAGGAGTGGAATGAAATCACGCCGTCGGAGAAGCAGCGCCTTCAACTCATCAGCGCCGAGGACGGGGAGTTCTGGTGACCTATGCCCACTGCGGTCGCGTCAGCTGTTATAATTGCCGCCTCGCCGTCGTGTTCGGCGTCACGGTGACCCCCCGGTTCTCTGTCAGGCGTAGCACGAGATGTGAAAGGGGCAGCCCCCGCAAGTTCGGCAGCCTGAATTGTCGAGTTAACCTCGGGGACGCCACCTGGCCTGCAGTGGTGTCAGGAAAAGTAATACGTGGTCACAGTACCACATTACGTTACTAGCAAGGGTGTTCGCCGTTGTGTTACACGACCGCTTCCCTAATGGGGGGCGGTAGTGTAGCGGTTAGCGCACTGCACGGTGAACCCGGCCACCCGAGTTCGATTCCCGCTTACGGCCAATATCAGTGACGATTATCTGAACTGGTTCTGGGCCTCCCCTAGGTCGACTCTGCCTCAACTGAGTACTTTGTGCAGTGTGTGAACATCGCCACTGAGGAGACAAAGGCGGTCGGGCGTGGTGCTGGCCAACAACCCCCTTGTGTTGCTGTGCCGGCCTTCATAGGCGCTACTCGCTAGCAGCACTTGCGCCAACAGCCTGTCACAAAAACTCTCTGATGTCGTGTTTTCTGGCCGCTCCTGACGAAGCTCCTAGCACATTGAGCGAAATGTCAGACATCATGCGGGAGAACATGCAGTACGGCCCTTAACCACATCAGAGAGCTGAGGGAGCAAGTGCCTGCCAACAGCACATCACATCTGCATGCGACGAGATCTGAATATTAAATCATTTTACGATTGTTACATTGTTAAAAGGGTTTTTTAATGTATTCTCCTTCAGCCTTTGCCAAGCATGGCAGAATCATAGCCACCTGCAGTTGTATAAGACAACTAAAGTTAAAATGTCCCCGAGTGTCACAATTAATTCAGTGTAAAACAACGTACCACCTCTAACCGGTGAACATCATTCGAATTCGGAACGTTTTAAGCGTGCTAATAATGTTAGGCAATAAAAAAACATGACATCTTACAAAAAACGGCATGTAATTTTTTGCATTGTGAGACTGTGAGGAATGGAGACAGCTTCGCATGATCCCTTAATCCAGCAGTGGATAGATTAGGGCTGATAATGACGATTTTGAAAACAACTTAAGTGAACATTTCCCTTCGTGATATGTAACTCAATATACAGGAAATACTGAGATTAAAACTTTCATCACTCTCATATCTATACCGGTTTAAATTTCAGGAAATATTTTCTGAAGCTTATTTTGTAAATGGAAACAACAACAGAAATGTGATCCGTAGAAAATAATTCATATTTTCACCACTTGCAGACTGATGAACGTCAGTCATTTGGTAAATATGAAGTAGTTTTCTTGATCATTTCATACCAAAAACATACTTTTCTAATTTAAATGTAAGGTAAAAAAAACTCCATGAAATATATTTCACCGCAAAAATATTTGGGGATTTTTTTGTTAGAACTGTTATAGCTGTTCATACTTTTGGTAGGGGTTTAATATCAGGGGTGTAATTATGTATTTCATATTACTGTGTTTAAATAATATCTATAAAGTATGGGTTAATGCAACCCGCTCCAGTCCCGAGGAGCCACTACATTTCTCACAAAGTTAAAAACAATAATAATGAATCCTCGATTCAAACGATGAACCCAAAATCACGTCAGTTTGCTGAATTGCAAGAGGGGGGAGGGAGGAAGTCATTAATCCAATAGTTTTCTACCACGTAAAAGTGCTCTTTTTTTCAACAAACAACTGACCAACTCCATCACAAAATCACCTGGACCACGAGGCAAATGCCGGGGGGTCGGAGCTCGGCTCGTAAGCACCGGGCCTAACGTTGTGAGCGCAAACACAACCCATCGACGATCTTCTCTCCCCGCCCAAGGATATCCTTCCAGGACTTCTGCCGCAACTTCACCAAGCTGGAGATCTGCAATCTGTCGCCGGACGCGCTCGCCGACGACCGCACCAACAAGTGGACGGTGTCAGTCAGCGAGGGCCGCTGGGTGCGGGGCTGCTCGGCGGGCGGCTGCCGGAACTACCCGGGTACCGCCAGCACGTCTACCCGCTCCCCCGTCTACCCGCTCCCCCGTCTACCCGCTCCCTCCGTCTACCCGCTCCCCCGTTTACCCGCTCCCCCGTCTACCCGCTCCCCCGTCTACCCGCTCCCCCGTCTACCTATCCCCTGCCTACCCACTCCCCCGTCTACCCGCTCCCCCATCTCCCCGCTCCCCCGTCTACCCGCTCCCCCGTCTACCCGCTCCCCCGTCTACCCGCTCCCCCGTCTACCCGCTCCCCCCGTCTACCCGTTCCCCCGTCTACCCGCTCCCCCGTCTACCCGCTCCCCCGTCTACCCGCTCCCCAGTCTACCTATCCCCTGCCTACCTGCTCCTCCATCTACTCTATCCACTGTCTACCTGTCCCCTGCCTACCTGCCCCCCCCCCCCCCGTCTACCCGCTCCCTAGTCTACCTGCTCCTTTGTCGACTTTGCCTCCTGACTGTCCTCTCTCCCAACTCCCCCCATTTCTCAGCAGCACCTCACAAACACCAGCCCCCCCCACACAAACTCCCAGTCTCGATGTAGGACAGCAGCTGTTGACAAGCCAGCTGGTGGTGAAATTAATCCACCCCGGAGGCAGAGGCTTTGCATGGTTGGCATTGGTCCTGTTGCAAGGAATGAAATGGGCACTCGCTGTCTACATGTTTCTCTCTTCTGAGCTCCGTGCTTGGGCCCCCTCCAGCCCATGGGCCTCAGAAATGATGAGATTAATCAATCCTGTGCGGGATACGGCATCACAGAAATGAAAGTGTGCACCCATTCCTGCAAAGCTGCAACTGCTACTTAGATAAATACACTTCAGGTGTGAAACAATTGACTCGCCCAGCGATTCGATGAATAGTCACAATTCAGGGCCGCGATTCGAATTCGGACTTTATTCGTTCTCATATGACGTTCCCCTTTCTTTCGTATTTTCTATTTTAGTTTTCCTGTCTCGTTTCTATAGTTGCATTTCGCTCCATCCTTCCGAACGTGACCGGTCCCTTTCCCATCGTTGTTCACTCATGGAGACAAATCATGGCATGCTCAGTTGTGACACAAAGCAATCGGGGAACACTTGTGTGTTGTGAATTTGTTTTTCTTGTCACGAGACTTCAGAATCGATAGAGAAGTCTCCAAGAGCAGTGCAACTCCACCCGTAGTTTCTCCAAACTCTGATCCACGCAAACTCTCATGATGCTCATTTCCATGCTTCACAAATTACCGTTGGATTGCGAATAAAGTTGGCGACAAGCTGCACACTCCTGACGGTTGTGAAATAGTTCCCTCGTGACTTGGATAGAGCACCTGGTTCAAATTGACACCACGTGTGCTTGTGTGCGTGTAGAATGCACTTCTTAACAAGCACTCTGCAGTCACCTGGGGCTATTGTGTCGCAATAATGAGACACATGCGGCGGTGTGTAACGACTTGATTTGTGTTTGAACGGAGGATATTGGTGAACATGGAACGGAGGATATTGGTGAACATGGAACGGAGGATATTGGTGAACATGGAACGGAGGATATTGGTGAACATGGAACGGAGGATATTGGTGAACATGGAACGGAGGATATTGGTGAACATGAAACGGAGGATATTGGTGAACATGGAACGGAGGATATTGGTGAACATGGAAAGGCTTACCCTGGTGGATCATGAGGACTTTGAGAAGCCTCGCCATTCGAGAGTAGCCTTCAGCTTTTGAGATCGCTTCAAGTAACTTTTATCCACACACTTGAAGTTGCAGATAACCATTCAATGTATGCAATATTAAGTTAAGAGAAAAACTAACTTATTAGAAGAGGGGTATATTTTGGTGTGTGCATTCTGTGGTGATCAGGCTGAGACCATCAACTCACTACATTTGAGAACGACATTTATCCACGGGCGGCTAAAACCCAGACGAGGAACCTGGGATCTCAGCGATGCCCTCAACGACTTTGCCACCACTGATATTGCAACTTGTGACAATTGGCATCTACGCGAGTAGTGAATTTGTGAGTCTGTGTGGGTCCTGTGTAAGTCTATGCGCGTCTGTGTGATCGATGTGTGTCCGAGTCTATGTGCAGCTGTGTGAGTCCGTGCCACTGTGTACGCTCTCTGGCAGTGCATATACTAAAATTGGAACGATACAGAGCAGATTCGCATGGCCCCTGCGCAAGGATGACACTGTGTACGCTCTACGTGAGTATGCGCCGGTCGAAATCTGACACGTGTGCTGCTGCTGCGCTGTCCGCGTGCTCGCGCAGACACCTTCTGGACGAACCCCCAGTATCGACTGCAGCTCTACGACGAAGACGATGACCCCGACGACAGCGAGCTGCTGTGCTCCTTCATCGTCGCGCTCATGCAGAAGAATCGACGCAAGGAGCGCAGGCAGGGCAGCACTATGCTCACCATCGGATTCGCCATTTACGAGGTACGTGCGTCGCCCAGGCAAGCCGCGGCGATCTGAGCGTTCGCTCGCTCCGAGCAGCAGAGACAAATAAAAGTAGAAATTCCACCAGACACGGACCTTCAGAAATGAGAGCTTGACAAAGTGTCGAACTCTAATGTCTGTTGGTGAAAACAAAAGAAATGGGCTTTACCCTTTCTGGCAATAAAACAGGATGTGTTTAAGATGTTCAAACACCCAAATGATGCCTATTGCAAGGCATCACGTTTCAAAGACAATGCATATATAATTATCAGAGCACGTTTGTATGTTTTGCCGCAAGTATGTGTGGTTAATGCAGATTTTCTGCCTTCCAATAGGTATCTGCTTGGTGTTTGAACGTCTTAACGCCTCTTGTTTGATTTCCAGAAAGGGTCGAGCCTATTCTTGTTTACCCCCCCCCGCCCATCATTTTCATATTGGCACAATAGGTCCCATAGATACTACTGTCTGTGTTAGCGTGGAAAACACAGATATGCACGAGGGGAAATGCCACCGAGAAGGGACCCGTTGGGGGATTTCTGTAAGCGCAAATTTGAATTACCAAAGCGTGCCCGTGCCCGCAGGCTGCACGTTCTTATCAGACCTCCACTCCGAGCTCGCTCAGTGCCCAGCGTGCAGACTGCCAGGCTACATACACACTGACCTGTTTCTTGCAATCTGCAACGTTCTTTGCGAATCCCTGCAACCTAAAGGTAAAGGTGCAGCGCTGCAATTACCTGCTCTTGGCACTCCTGTAGACCCCCTTTAGATGGTATTTGGCTCGTTAATGGTATTATTTGAATAAAGACAGGTAAACCAAATGAAACATTGGTAATCTAGGTGTAGAAAAACATTGCGCAAACGGTTCTCTAGCAATCTCTGCTGAACTCGTAAATCCAACGCTGTGTTGGCTCTATTGCTGTAGACTTACAGCCCTTTCGTCAGTCCACTGCTGGATGAGGGCCTCCCCACGCCGTGTGGGTTATGGTGGTTTATCACCATACTTCACCATCCTGGTTAGTGCGGGTTGGCGAAGGTGAGCAGCACACATCGGGGAGATTAGCGTGGTACGGTGCGAAAGACGTTCAACATTCATATAATATGATTACGGTACAACAATGTATCTCGCTGCACTGGTCTCTGCAGCCCACCATACGGACCGTACGGTGACCTGTTTGTGCATGGAGGTCAGCCTTCCAAGCACTATCCAGGCTCAAAAACCCTTCTTGGCTTTCTGAGATCTGAGAAGACCGGGCACATTCTGGATAATGTTTATGATTGTTTATATATCTGTGTGTACTGGATCTACACAGCTGATGCTCACAGACGCAAAGGTCCACAATGTCAAGTGGCCAGCAAGCAAGGATCTGATGCTTTAACTTTGATAAAATCCCCAAAAACTGAACGTAAGTCACACGGATCCTGTTTGACGCCATAACCATAATGCAACGCAGAACAGGTTTAGAGCTGAATAGTGGTTCACGCACTGCCTCTTCGTAAACCGCCATGCCTAGCAAGCCTTGTGGTGTCTTTATAGCAAAATGATTAACGAGGAATGTTCTGTTTTCATTCCATCAAAGGCCGCAATGTTTGAACGTAGAAGCATCTTGCCCTCGTTGAAATCTCCACATAAACCGTGTTCCCTTTCCCTCTTTTGTGGCACTTTAAATGCACTTTAAAGGCACATCCTGCGGGTTTATAGTCAACTTCAGAGTGCACGGGCCAACTTTCTTTAAACCCAAAATCCTGGTTGGCTTTAGCTGCGCCGAAATAAATGTATCGTAGTGGCATTTCGGAAAATCTCACTTTTATTGATCAACAAATTGAGGCCTTAGAATGCTTTCCCTGGCTTCACAAAACCAACGTTCAATCCGCAATAACTTGCTGATCTCATCAAGGAGCATAAACCGTCATGCGAACTCTGGTCATCCTCGCAGCGACTTTTGGCTAACCATCGAACAAAGTCGGTCACTGCATCGCGCACTTTCAGATGCGCTTTCTGCAGCCGTCTGGAACGCTCTTCCTTCCAAGTTTAGGAAGCCACTGGAGCTATGCACTTTTAAATCATCTAGATTTAAAACTAATTTATTTTGAACTCCTTTTTGTGTTTACTTTGTTGTCGTTCCCCTGCATGTTCGATTAGCACGGTTGGCTATGTATGGCGCGAAAGAAGTTCAACATACATACAATCCACGTATACTGGAAATTCGGCATCATCACAACAACATTGATTATGGTGTACCAATTCACTTTCCCCACCTCCTTGTGGTTTCATGAATGGTTGTGATTCCATTCAAGGATCGATTATTTTTATTTGTTACAGTGTGGAGGATGTAAGCGGCTTTAATTGGCTGGATGGGTCATGTGAACCCGTTGCATAAAACATACACAAATCGGAACCCACCGATTGTCACACATGGGGTTCAATGCTTGCATCAGAGGCTTGAGAATCGATATTAATTGACGGATTGATATATCGTTACTCACCATCGATCTAACCACAAATAAGCACAACCCAACGGACTTAATTTTTAATCCACATGAAATTTTAAAGTGGGTGTTTTGCCAGCAAAAGCAAACAACCAACAGTGCAAGGGACAGTGAAAAATATTGAGAATGAGATCGTATACATAATGTTCACTGCAAGTTAAAATTCCTCTCCAGCTACACACCCATCGCTTGCAAGGAATTTGTTTTTGAAAGTCTGACAAAACTAACACGAGGCTTATTTTGAATACGTATGTTTGTGTTGTATGAACAAACTACGTGCATTGATGTTTTAAGCAATTATATATAAAAATAAACACACGTAATAAATGTGTTGCATGGAAAGTGTTTCGACCACCTCTTGTAGATTCAAGCTGGCATTCACTCCAGTCGGTAGATACCCTCGCCAACCAGAAGAAAAGGGTAAGTGGGGTTTGGGCAGAACGCGTCGCTAGAAGTGATGGTAGCCAACGGTCAAGGATAATTACGGAGTGGCAGCCACAGGATTGAACGTGCCCAAGATCACGTCGGCCGAGGAGACTGAGCGATGAAAGCAGTTCGTGTGCAGGTGCTGGCTGGATTACCGTGCAGGGTCATCAGAGATAGCAGCGGCTTGCGGAGGCCTTCATCCAAAATCGGATTGACCATGGCCACTGACGATGATAAAGTAAAAAAAACTCATTTAGCGATGCATTTTTGAAATGCAGTAATTGATGATTGGCCTGAAACCATCAACTTGCTACACTCGAGAACGCATTTCAACGATGGGTGCACGAAACCCCATTGCTGTCTCCGTGCCCCGATCCCTTGTCCCTCGTGGCCATGAGAACGAAACTTCCCTCTCGTGCCATCTCCCAGGTGACTGAGGATCTTCGCGGCAGCCGGGAGCACCTGCCCAAGGACTTCTTCCTGTACAACGCGTCGCGCGCGCGTTGCAACTCCTACATCAACCTGCGCGAGGTGACGGAGCGCTTCCGCCTGCCGCCCGGCGAGTACGTCATCGTGCCGTCCACCTTCGACGCGCACCAGGAGGGAGAGTTCCTGCTGCGGGTCTTCGCCGAGAAGCACAACGTGTCGGAGTGAGAGGCCCCGCGCGACCGCCCCCCCACCCCCGTGCGCCACACTCACACACACAGACGACGAACAGACGACGAACGGCCTTTAAAAGACTGTTGGGGCAGGAACACAACCACAGTCATTTAGAGTAATGTCTGATCTACTCCTTCATCTTAGTCTCGGTTTAAAATAATACAAATATGTATTATGATTGACAGCTGGATGAAGGCCTCCCCATGTCTTATCGGTCATGGGGTGCCCTATGACCAGACTTCGTCACTCTGGTCAGTGTGGGTTGGTGGAGGAGGGGCCCAGGGTCAGTTTAGATGTCTCTCACTACTCAGGTCAGCTACGTCAAGGAATCGAGATCATATCAGGTGATTCACTTTGACATTGCAGTGTGCTGACCACTTCACTTACCACTTAACCTCCAGTCTCTGTTTCCAGCACCCTAAATCGAAGGCACAATGTGCCTTACCTGAACTAAATGGAGTACCTTGTGCGGGTGACACACCGCAGCAGGTACTCATTTAAGGCTGAGTCGACCTCGGAGAGGCCCTCGACCGGTCCAGATATTCATCACTGATGTTGGCCGTGAGCGGCAAATCGAATTCGCGTCGCAGTTCGCTAACCACTGCGCTGCCGCTCCCTGCTATGCACCACGTGCGCGTGCACCCACGTGCGCGTGCACCCACGTGCGCACGCGTTCACACACGTGCGCGTGCACCCACGTGCGCGTGCACCCACGTGCGCGCGCGTGCACCTACGTGCGCGTGCACCCACGTGCGCGTGCACCCACGTGCGCGTGCACCCACGTGCGCGCGCGTGCACCCACGTGCGCGCGCGTGCACCCACGTGCGCGCGCGTGCACCCACGTGCGCGTGCACCCACGTGTGCACGAGATTGGCCGTGCGCACGTCTGCAGGCAGGCAGGGGGTTTCTCTCCCAGGCGCCTCGCAGCTACGAGCCCCCAGCGCTCGTGTCTCCGCTTGCCCGCGTGCGAGAGACCCTATTACGAGGCTAATTCCGCCGTATCTTAAAAATAAACGCAGCACTTAATCGCATAAACAGCTGCACAGGGGAGTAAACAAAGTTCTATTAAAAATAGCTCAAACTATGTTAACAAGGCACCTAATTACCATTTTGACCGTTATTAAGTGCGTGTATTTGTTTAGTATTGCGACATTACCAGGCTCCATTTACTCAGAAAAGAAGACTTTAGCAGCAGCAGCGTGTGTGTAAATATTTAATGCTCGTAGGATATACATCAACACAATGCAATGATGATGTAGCATCAAGCTGCGCCCAAATCTCAAGATGCTGTACAGAGACAGTTAAATTTAATAATAATAATAGATTAATGATAATAATATTTTTGGGTGTTTCAACCAGAAAGAGAGAGGAACGGTCACATGTAGAGGGAAATAAGGCAAATCATTAGATAACAGTTCGCATGTCCGTGATGAAACAAACCAATTCACGAGCGTGCACATCGATGATGAAAACGAGTCTCGTGACTAATTTTTCAGGAGGGGTCCTGCCGATTTATGGACAAAAATAAATGTGTTTTCAGGCTGATAAATGAAACAAGTCTGTAATTTTCACGAATAAATAATTTTCTCAAAGTTACACATTCGCATTTCACGTGTGTGTTTATTGTTATTTTTGTTAAATCAGTCTCTTACAAAGTGTTCTCATTTGTTTACCCCCTTCCACACCCCCCCCCTTCTCTTACCCCTCTGTCAGGGAAATGGACGACGTCATTGGCGTGGTTGGTGTAAGTGTGGATGTTGTGCAGAGCAATTCTCATTCTAATCTCAACCTTCCCTATTCCACTCGGCTACCTTGCCACCGACCGCCCGTTGTGTTGACCTCAGATGTACCCCCCAATGCCCCCCACCACCCCCCCACGTTGTCCCGTAACCCTGTTCACGGACCGATGCCGTGTGTTGTTGCGACGTAAAACACGCGCACGCAGGGCAAGAAGAAGAAGAGCAAGAAGAAGAAAAAGAAGGTACTGGCTTAGGCAGGAGCGGAGCGAGACCCACACCAAGTGGGAAACGAGCCCTGTAAACGACACGGCGACACATTTGCCTGGCTTCTCATATACGCCCCCCCCTTCTTTGTTTTCACGGCTCTGCCCGTGCCATATTTCTGATGGTCCTTCATCAAATTTGCCGACTTTTCCGCTCATAAACGTGAACCGCAATTGCAGCGAAGAAAACACGTGCATGCCAGCGATGTTCTCCCGTGCTAAAACCGCCTCGTGTTTGCATTCTAAGCTTGGCGTTCCCTCTGTTGCTTTGCATGCCATGGGACGATTTAATTATTTATTTCCCTGCTTGATATTGATAAACTGACGTGTTTTTCATTCTTCTGCTGAAGACCTTTGGGAAGACTAAATATTGTCTTTTGTGTTCGCCTAATTAACCACCTGGCCTGCTGTGAGCAATGAAATCAATTAATTTTCATTCTCATGAAAAGCCAGGACCATTGCTGATAAAGTCATCCGTCGAGCTCGTTTGCTTTCAATCTCTTGGGATCTCAAAATTGCATGGCAATAATGGGGTATTTTATTAAAATTCATTAAAGCAACATGCTTTGTGCTTTGATCTCATATCAGGTTTTTTCGCCCCTTTCTAATGGCAGTTTCTGGAATCTTCCGCACCCCAGAGAGATGCTTATCAGCTTTTGACACGTCTCTGTACAAAAGAACCTCGATTATCGGACAAAAATACTCATTGTTACATCATCAGAGTAATAATATAAATGATGAAAGGGTGGATAGCAGCTTCGCGATTCGAATGCTAACCACTGAGTCCGGCAGTAATTCCATGGAGAAGGTCCCAAAGTACTGCGAAGTTCATATACAAGACATTGTCCTGCATCATAGCCCATATCCACATTTGTTTTAATCGCCTTGACTACATTTTCCATTTCAAACTTAAATGCCATTTCTATGCAATATTGTTATGAAGGTATAAGAAATAATGCCTCCCAATTTGGATCAAAATAAATGCCAATTTCGGATTATAATGATGTTTATCTCAAACGTATCACCATTAATAGTATAACTCCTCCTATGAAATGTTGATCCGACTAGCTGCAATGTTATCTGCGGATTTATTCCACTTCTCTACTAGAACTGCGATGTTATCTGTGAATTTGCTGCACTTATCCACGAAAAAATGCGCCGCGAAACCACAGAAAACATGATCAATGTATCGTGCCACTCCAATGATTTTTTTTAATGCAATAAATAGAAATCCATTCCGCAGTGCAGGATGGGAAATGCCCCAGATAATTGTGGATAATCTGTATCCACAGCTCATCTAAATCCTCCTCCAGGATAAATAAATAAATAAATATCGATTCTGAAACAGGGTGCAGATAATAGTATTTTAGAATACCCTACAGCTCCCGTAGATGATAGAGTCATGGATAATAGGAGTTCTCCTGTCATCTATAAATGCAATGTAGTGTTACTTTTTAAAATAAATAAAAAAAACCCTCACCCTTTGTTTCTCAGTCTGGGTTCGATAATCAAGGTTTATTTTTGTACGCTATTTCTGAACCTTTCTCTTTCACTGAATTTTTTTATCCTGTTCCCTTTCTTTTCATATCGCCACTCATCATAGCCAATCGTCTTTATCTCGGACAGAACTAAGAAAGGGCAGCAACAGCCGGAATCTCCGGACGAGAACGAGTCGGAAGATGGAAACGAGGGTTTAGTGCCTTTTAGCGATGAAGCGTCTGCACGAAACAATGGCCTCGTCTCGCCACGGTTTTATGAGACTGCGTTTTGCCCGTGTGTGGGAGGAAGTGTGTGTGTGTGCGTCGCCCTCGATCGTCACGATGCTCTGCCGTGCTTCAACGATGAGCGGATGCGCAGTGTTTAATATTGATGCCAACTGACGATGCCGGGTAATGCATCGAAAAGGGCCACATTGTGCCGTGTTATATTTGGTGTAGGTTTGTTTTTTCTCTCTCTCTCTCTCCCAAACAAGATATACAAACAAATTGCATTACGTTGAGAACTATCATTGATGAATACATTTCACCAGGCACTTTGAAATTCGTAATTTTAGAGTAACACTGCACTCTAGAGTGTACCAATATATTAAAAAAACTGTTTTTAATACATCGTTTATTTAATTTACAAATGCTATACTTTGCTCAGTAAATGAAGTTAAAGCTTGCCGAAATTAGTTGATCGTTGAAGCACTGCAGTTTCAACAGTGATTTAATGGAGCCGTCATATCAGCACTGTGCATGGAACTTGAACCTAAACCTGACCTTCACGATGACGTTTCTGTTAGTTTGACCCGGTGTTTTCAAGCGGTTGCCGGCTTGCAGGGCTGAGCGATGCATCAGTGCTACAGGCAGTGTACCGCGCCTGCGGCAGAGACGGTGCAGCAAATCTCGTTGAAATCAAAATCAACATTCTTCATGTCACGTGACGCACAAGTCACCTCACATTTAATTGGCTGTCAGGTACTCGTAAAAAAATACATGTGCATCGTTAAAACCGAGCTTATGTTTTGCTGATTGCTGCAATTAGCTTCGTGTAAATTCCGGCACTTTGAACGGATAATCTCCATCTATTGCTCGGATTTTGCAGAAAGTGAACCTAAAGTATATTTTGCTACCCCGGCTTTGACCGACCGAGTCGCTGCCTCAGTGTTGGCATTCGGTGGTTGCATTTTTGGGAGGACAGGGCGAGGGTTCACTACTCAACCAGGGTTGCCTCCTGTCCTGATTTTCCCAGGATTGTCCTCTATTGGAGATAGCTGTCCTGAGACCTCTTCAAGTATTCCCAGGACATTAAAATTCCGGCTTTTTTTTGTCCGTTGCTTGACAAAATACCACTCACGTCAATGCATTTGCATGTAGTTCTCACCTCTTGCAGTATTGCGAGATAATCTTCCTCTCCTCGCGTTATGTCTTGGCTTTTTTACGAGTTGTAGGTGGCAACTTGATCACTCAACATTGGGGTGAACCAATATTTGGGTGTCAGTCGCTCAGCCCTTGCAGCTGGGAGAAAGTGCACTGCTGCATGCATGTGTTTGAAGTGCCTCTGCAGAATGCCAAGGAGTAAAGTACAAATGCATCCACACATCATGAATGGATCTGTCAGAACCCAGAGCATGAGAAGTCATTAAGTAATTTAAGTGTGCGTTGGAACACCGTAGTGGATTCTCACTGATTTGGCCAATACATATTTAAAGCTACAGTCGACACGGAAATTTGTCAAATATTAAATAGCATTATTACATCTTGATTTAAAGCTTTCGTGACTGCAGGAATTCATACTCTTGGGTCTTCCGGTCAAGTCACGTAAATAAAAAAAAATTATAGATCACGACGTTTTGATCGCACGATTGCTTGTGTTGCGATCGAAACGTCGTGATCTATTATTTTGTATTTACGTGACTTGACAAAAAGACCCAAGAGCATTATTACAATCAAAGGGGGGGGGGGGGGGGGCGGAGAGACGTGGTGCAGCGTCTGGCATCGTGTGCTATGAACACGGTAACCCGAGTTATTAGAATCCCAGCCACGGCTCACATCAGTGACAAGTGATATATCTAAATTGAATCCTGAGCGTCCCCGTTAACCAACGCGCGCTGACCGGCACGCTGACATTTAATTCACCCAGCGGTGGACAAAGAATGGATTGGCGACGTTATGATGTTTGTCACTAAAATCGCAGCGAAAGCATGCGCATGCTCATGTTTCGAAGTACATCTGCGCACAGTGTAAATGTTGCAAATCCCGGTCTCCATTGTGGGGTGAAGATGCACGCGGACTTCATGCGTGTGTCCCGCTGATGGATTTTCTGAAAGGACCCTGTCCAATTAGTCCAAATCAATGGGAGTCCGCTGTAGTTTAATTGCCCGTAAATTGTGTGCTATTTGTGTCCATGTTGTGCTGACTCTGAACATTGCAGTGGTGTATTCGTAGTGTATTCACACAGCAGGGCACATTGATGAGAACAACCTTTATCTTTTTGCATAAAAAAACGGTTTGCCCACCTCAAATTGCTTCAAGCGCTGGAAAGAAGGCTGAGCGAGTGTGATTCGTGATTGTAAACTGCTCTTCCTTTGCACATGTCGGTTAAGATGCAGCATAAAATCATATTTTTTCATGGCGCTATTTGTGCTGCGTCGTTGAGGTGGGAGAATTGGTCGCCCCACACTGACAGTGATTATGTCTGGTCTCGTATGAATACATCACTGCACGCACGCCGCGATGTGAGGAAACGTTACTGAGGTGAATGCACGAGCAATTACAATTACAAGGTCAGTGGCATTGCTATTCCGACTTGTGAGCTGGGTGGTTTGCTGAATGGCAGACTTTCAGTGATCGGGCTGCCTTAATCGTGTACGTGTGTTTGTGTGCGATAATTGCTGGGTGAGGAACCATTATCTTTTTTTGCTGTTCTGTCTGTCACTCTGTGTGTTTGTGTGTCCGTGCGTGCAACTGTGCGTGTCTATCTCTCTCTCTCTCTTTCTCAAATCTCTTGATTTTGTGTTCAGTCAAATAAGTTGGCTGAACCTGGAAATCCAAAGGAACCAGACCTGACCCCAGAGGATAAGCAGTTCAAGACAATCTTCAAGCAGCTGGCCGGAGACGTACGTTTACAGGAAAACGAGTTACAGCAATTCTGGGTTTTTTGTGGTTTAACTTGGCAAAACACTGCGACTCGTTCTGCTGGGTATACACACAAACTAGGAATTAAACCACGGCATTCCATATGAATTGCCAGGGTTTCGATTCGATTGGTGAAAAAAATTAACCCGTAAAAACAAAGTTTTTCACTATAAATCCTTTATATGCGTGTTCAATGGGCCACAACCCAGCCCACATTGGTCTTTGAAACGGGTGGCTAGAGTCCTCTCGTCCTCTGGCTTGAGATGGCTGCCACCTATGGGTCAGATGATTGCCTGCCACCATTAAGCAATTGGTAATTAAATATATAAAAAAATATTTTACCTAAAAAGTGTACAATTTTGGAAAAAAATGCTCACGAAAATAAATTGTCACGCACAACGAGTCTGTGTGCAAAATGTCAGCTCGATTGGATCACGGGAAGTGGGTTAAAAAACGACCGAAAGATTTGCACGGTCGTAAGCGCGCAAGCAAGCAAGTGAACTTAATATAAAGGATTTAAAAATGCATCGCTTATGCTCCGGACAAAAGACCAAATCACCTCATATTCACTAGATTCTATCAGATCTTGTCGCATTTGTAAGCTAAGGAGTGTTGAGTCTGGAAGGTGTGTTGATGGGCTACCACTATGCACAACAGGTGTTATATATTGTGACGGGCCTGTGGACATCAGACAGCAGTACAGCAAAATCTACTGTCCTATATTTCTATGCTCCCACATATATGCTCCCCACATTTAACAACCCACACTCACTGGCGTGGTGAAGTCCGGTCAAATAACCCCCAATAATTTGCATGGCTTAGGGCGGCTCTCATCCAGCAGGGCAGTAATGAGGGGCTGTACATGCATGTTTTAATAGAGACTGCAATTGATCATGCAAGGTGATTGATGAAGGTTCTGACTAATGGCTTTTGTACAACTTCATCCTGTAAACTAAAAGGCCCTGAAAGCACATAACAAATCTAATCATATCGATGTGCGGATGTAAAGCTGATGTCCAAAGTGCACTTCTTCATGTGCTATGTACCTATGACAGCAATTACATTTTTTATGATGTTTGTTTATTCATTGGCATGTATTATAGATACATTATCTAGAATAGATGAGGCCAGCGTGACAGGACACACCTTTATCCTCGGACTTTGAAGGCAAGGGTTAGTAGATCACTTAGGTTTGTTAAAATCCCTAACCCGCTGGGCTGAGGTGGCCAGCGGATAGCATTACAGACAGCGGTACGGGTTCTACAACCTTTGGTCGGGACCTTTGAATGTTTTCTCCAAATGCGTGTGGGTTTTCTCTGTATTAGACAGACGACTGGCAGGTTGCGTGTGCCGAGGCAAAGTGTGAGTAACCCAACCTCTTCCAAGATGTCTGGCCAGCTTAGAAGAAGAGGTCAAATATGCTCGAGAAGGGCTCTCTAGTGGAGATCCTTCTGCCAGCAGTGGTGCAATCAAGCAATTGCAGGGCTGCACATTTGCCTTTCACCTTTTCTCTGGGTACAGTACTCTGGTTTGAGCAGACATACAAAGTGCTCATTGAAACAATAATTGGCTGAATATTCTGATGCCGGACACTTCTGAAAAATAATCTTGAGACTCAGTAAGGCTTTGCTGTATGATCAAATTATTGTTCGATTTAAAGCTTTCGTGACTGCAGGGATTCATCTTCTTGGTTCTTTCGGTAAAGCCACGTAGAAGGGAAATAATAAAATAATACAAATAAAACATCTCACGACGTTTCGGCCACAACGCAAGCAGCCGTCCTCAGGTGAAGACCAGGTCTGTCGGGGAGACAGCGAAAGAGCCAAGAAGATCAAATTATTGTTTTGTTCATTCAAATAAAACAACAACTTCTTAAACCGATTTAAAATTAGTTCAAATATACAATGTATTGTATGTTGGGATGGAAATTGAGAATGTGGTGTTCGCCGATCTTACGTTTATCGTTGTGTTTGCCTCAGTGGGGGTGCTGCTGATGTTTTCTGTCTCCTCAGGACATGGAGGTCGGTGCCTGCCGACTTACATAACATTCTCAACAAAGTCATAACCAAACGTACGTTGGCAGAAAAAAAACATAACCCTCCACCTCACACCCTCGCCCCACAAGATGTGTGGTCAGAATGGAAAATGTGACTCCCACCTACTCTCTACACGGCTATTGATCAGCAACAAAAAAAGCATGGGCACACAAAGCAATTTTCATGATCGATGGCGCATGATCCAATCTTACTGAATCGAACATGCACTATTGTTTTCGTAATGCTGCCTCAGTCGAAAGCTCAGATGTCGACCTTGGTGTAGACTTTTGTGGTGAGATGACAATGTAAAATGTATAATAAACTACTTTATAAAATTATATCCGAATAATGTATGGCCCTTTGCCCAATACACTGCTGGATGAAGGCCTCCCCCACACTGTCGATTGTAGCTGTAGCTTGACCATACTTCACCACGATGATCATAGCGAGTTGGTGAAGGGGGTGCCCAGGACTGTTTCAGATATCGAGCGACACTGACGTTGACCGTGGCCGACAATTGAACTCGGGTCACCAGGTTCATGGCACATTTTGCTAGCCACTGCTAAATCCCAAATGTCTTTAGGGCGGAGCAATGTCACTGCTCCGCCCCAATTAACCAGATAACAATTCGCAATTTTGGTCAAGTCTTGACAATTTTAAATTTAATTACTCTGTGGTACCTTTCTGAAATAATCTTGCCATCCTAGATGTCAATTTTGCCTATAATTCTTGAGAAGAGCCACATGCAAACAGAATGTGTGGGTACGGTGATATACGCAGCCCAAAGCTACATGCCCATGCAACTGCAATATTCTAAAAGTCATCTCTAAATTCTACCTCAAAAGTATTGCTTAAAAATATGGGGACAAAAAATTTCATGCTTGGAAATTTTCGGATAATGCAACCTCACATTGACTAAACATCTTTAAAACGTAGATTACATCTGTCAATACAGTGCAAATGTGTGTACATTTCCATGTGTCACTTCAAACACAGGCATAGTGTATGTGTGTTCAGCAATAAAAACAAATGCCCATGTTAGATGGCAAAAAAAGGTAAGAAATCAGAATTTGCAATATACACATGAAGTATACACACTTTGATGTGATTACATATTGCAGCATATTCTGCATATGCCAAAAGCCTAAAACACTCAGGGAAGGCTGGTATAACCCATGTTGCCAATAGGCTTTTGACACAGATGTTCGGTCCTTATGGGGCTGATTAGTGTGGCGGACAGCTTACTTCCGCTCAGATTGGTCTCGTGTATTCACTAACTCAGGGTGCAAGGACGAATGATGCAAAGTATCCTTCTAACGTAAAGTGTACATGTTCTCAGTGATATATATACATTTAAAAATGAGGGAGTGTTAATAAGTAAAGAGAGAGATGCTATTTTCAGAGAAAATCTATGCAAGATTGCTTCTCCACATTTACGTGACTACTACTACTACGTTACATTCATATTCCATAGATTTACCCAAGAAAAGCTTAACCTGAGTATCAGCCTCCTTTCGGAAGCGTCCTGATAAGTTTCAGGCTCAGGAGGGAATGTTGCTCGTGTATTTTCCCAATTGATGATATTTAATTTAAAATTGCAAGTTTATTTTTGCCTAGCCAGGTGAAAACTCAAGAGACCAAAGCCACTTTCATCTTCGAGAGTGACCAGACCTGGGGTATTAGTCCGCCAGTAGGGGGCAATGGTTGCGATGTACAATCCCAATTGAGTCATAATGTGAGTCACTTTTTTAAATTGGCCAATTTGGACCTTGATGCCAGCACACATCAGGAGATATATAGAGCATATGAGTACCAGGGTCATGCCCCAATCGCTACTATATTTTCGTCACCAAAAATAGTACCGAAAGAGGCAGAAAATTGCTATAAAAATAGAAAAAACATCAAAGTACCGATGGAATTTGAGGACACATTCCAGTAATCAAGTGACTTGTATGAGGGGTTAATGGATGGATATTTAGAGGTCACATGCATGAGCAAATGTCGGGAGGGCGATGAGGTGACTAGGAGGTGGTAAGTAGACTGCTGATCTATGTTTTTAAAAATAATTTTAAAAAGTTTGATTGTTCCTCTCCAATGTACATTGGGTTTTTCCAGATATTTTATTTTCCTTCCAAACACAAACATGCTCAAAACAGATTTGGCCGAAACAACAAAAAGTAGGATCCTCCTGCAAACAGCCTTGAGAATGCGTTTATGGGAAAATGAAGACACAAATACGCATTAACATACAAGCAATAACTGTGGTGGAAATGCATAAAAATACATATGAATAGCATACATTATGTGTATGTGGTTGTCTTGTGTCGGTCCCATGACTCACTTTGCAATTGAAATTTGATTCTCAATGTCGCATAGTTATATAGGTATAAAAAACATAATGTACAGTGCTTTGTCAATCCAATGTTGGATGCAGATCTCCCCATGCCCTTTCTGACGTGAGTTGTTCGACCATGCGTTATCATGCTGGTCAGCGCTGGTTGGTGAAGGGAGTGGAGCATTACACTTTGAACCCAACGAAGCTGAGTTTGATTGCCGGCCGTGACTAATTCAAGTGGCGAGTGATACACCACAGATATATCTGAATCATTCAGAATCAGAATATTTTAGACTGGAGGAATCCGTTGAGCTATGAAGCTATTTTTCACATATGTCCAGTATGGGTGGGTCAGCATATTAGGAAGCCACTGGAGCTATGCACTTTAAATTCCAGATGAAAAACTAATTTCTTTAGAACTAATTTTTGTGTTTAGTTTGTTGTCCTTCCCCCACACCTCCGCTTAGCATGGTTGGCTACGTACGGTGCGAAAGAGTTTCAACAAACATACATCATCCAGTATGGGCGGGTCAGCATTCATGCATGGCCTCTTCGTATATATATTTAAAAAAATAACGTCACGTTCGCTCTTGCAGACAAAGACCTGAAGACGAGCGGCTTTAGCCTGGAGAGCTGCAGAACAATGGTGGCACTCATGGATGTATCCTTCGCTGCTGTTTCATGTCCTTGCTGCATCGCGGACTTAACGCTCATCTTCCCCTCACCGGGTCACTCGGCTGTGGCCACCAGAGCAGGAAATCCAGCCCAGTTTTGTCTGCTGATTTGCACGCTCTCGCAAAAGGTGCCGGTCAGATTTTTGCTCCGTAGATTTTTTTTTTGGGGTTGCTGGAGGGGTGAGAGATGGGTGCACTTGTGGAGGCAGCACTGTGGAACGGTCTTTATTTATTTAGGCAGCACCACCATCCTCCTCTTCCCCACCCTCTTACAGTAGGGGGTTCTTGTGAACAATACATCACAGGCCCTGAATTCCTGTTGGCCGCAGCGATCAGGCATATAAATAGCTTACATTCTAACCCCACTCCTTAACCAAGGCATCTGCAAAAAAATTGTTTTCACAAAAAGGTCCTCTGTTTCAGTAATGCGTGTGAGGTGTGGAAAACCACGTTTTATCGTGGGATATTAATGCAGTGCCAACGTTGAACTTCTTTTGCCCCTTACGTAGCCAACCGCGTTAATCCGAGGTGAACGTTAATCGGAGGTGAACGTCAACAGATGTACATGCAACATTGTGTCACCTAATTCCCTGTCTTCAGGGGATGCTGCCGTGGAATGCTGAAGTCGCCGGTTCACTTCGATCTCTCCGTTGCGGCAGTGTTGATCGGTGTACCACAGTCAGTCGATGGGCATGTCGCATGCGGTGGGGTGAAGCGTGGGCACCCACGACCTCTTCCAAGGCCGAATACTCTCGAGGGGCTCTCAAGGGCTGCCTCGAGTGGAGGCTGTTCCTCCAGCAGCGGCGTGAGCAACATATGTCAGGGCTGCACCTTTATCTTCGCTTTACTGCATTCATTCAGAACAGCAAGTCCATTGTAAGGGTAGATGATGCGTACACAAGGAAGGGCTTCAAAGGAAGTCTAACATCAGGTTCGTGTTACATATTTAATATTTCATTACGCATCTCAACCATGGTATACTGTATATGACAGTGTTACATATATCTATTTTTTGTACAAGCAGAGATGCCTTAACTTGGTTTGCTCAGACGGACCTTTCAGGAAAGCTGGGCTACAATGACTTTAAATATCTCTGGGATAAGCTCAAGTTCTGGCAGGTAATGTATGTGGGTGCACGGTGTGAGAATTGGTCTGCTTTACAAACACCGCGTCACGTGTGGTGCTGATAGACGGAGCCTGCTGTACCCTGCACAAAAGTGCGGCGTTACCGCAACCTCTGCATGCTATGCTAATTACTGCCCCTAATCCATGCTATTTAGATCACTCTCGAGACACCGCTGTTTTGTGTCTAACGTGTGCATATAATAATTTGCATATTTTTCCATTTAGGACAGCGAACCTGAAAGGGTAGGGTGCAGAAAAAGAGGTGGATGAGATTATTCTATGCCAAGGAATTTTCCATGTGAAATTTTTTAAAAATCTGAATGAAGTATTTAAGATTGTTGAATAATACCTTATATTTGGAACTTGTCTCAAAATGAAGACTTTCTATCTCAATGTGCTCCCAACGGTTTATAAAGTCATGAATTGTGTAATTCATCTTGGTTGATTCTGCCAGTGCCCTAATCCTTGGTAAATATAATCGGTGAGGCTATATATGAGCCATTGTGTGACGAGACAAAGGTAATGAATCAGGAAACTATAAAGATGAGAAGAATATGAGAGAAAGCTGATATATTTCATTGTGAACAAAGAAACACGCAATTTTAATCTGGTTTACTAATTATCAATTCCGGTTGTTTTGTTGAAATACACTGCGATTAAGATAACCCCTCAAATGTGTGTAAGAAATTGATATTAACTCGAGTTTATATAAGCTACCATACATACTTCATGAGTATGCCTTCTCGCATGATAAGTAGTTATTGCTGGCACTACACATTTGCCAGATGCTAAATTATGCACGCAGTGTTATGGTGTGTCTTGCATGTCTGTGCGTGCCATTGACATACTTTTGAATAAAGATAAATGAACGTGCCGTTAAATGTATTCACTTCTTGATGTTTTCGGATTTTCTTTCCAAAGCAAATATTTCGCAAGTACGATTCTGACAAATCTGGTTCCATGACTTCCTACGAGATGCGCTTGGCCATCAACGAGGCCGGTAAGTGATTGTGCTAAATTGACAGATTGCAATTTTTTTTACAATTAAAGGCAAAGGGCCTCAACTAGAGGGAGCTTGGGTACCCTCCCATGCTGGCTTGACATCTTTTGGTAAAGTCACGTAGAAGGGAAATAATAAAATAATAAAAATAAAACAATTAAATACAATTCTCACGACGTTTCGGCCACAACGCAAGCAGCCGTCCTCAGGTGAAGAACAGGTCTGTCGGAATGACAGCGTCTGAATGAACACCACGAAGCTTGGCAGCGTATATTTAAGCTGGGTTAGAGGAGGAGGGCGCCTTGACAAAGAAATGTGCATATCAACAGAGGAATTTAGCATATTTATGGAAAATGCAGATATGGGATTAGTCACTTCTTGTGGAATGTGTAGGAGGTGGGGGGGGGGGGGTCTCAAAGTCATATTATGCTCGTGTATTATGTAGGATTAGCAGTAATAAAGGGAAGGAATTTTAATAGTAAGGAGCTGCAGCAGCCCCCCCCCACCTCCTACACATTCCACAAGTAGTGACTAATCCCATATCTGCATTTCCATAAATATGCTAAATTCCTCTGTTGATATGCAAATTCCTTTGTCAAGGCGCCCTCCTCCTCTAACCCAGCTTAAATATACGCTGCCAAGCTACGTGGTGTTCATTCAGACGCTGTCTTTCCGACAGACCTGTTCTTCACCTGAGGACGGCTGCTTGCGTTGTGGCCGAAACGTCGTGAGAATTTTATTTTATAATGTTTTATTTTATTATTTTATTATTTCCCTTCTACGTGACTTTACCGAAAGAACCAAGAAGATGAATCCCTGCAGTCACGAAAGCTTTAAATCGAAATCTTTGAAGAAGTCGAAGAACCCACACTTTACCCCACTACACACGACCTGCCAATCGACTGTGGTGAACCCATTTATACTGCTGCATGAACAGAGGTGGGGAGATTTAATAATAATAATAAACTTGCATCGTTGTCTAAATTGCCATGCCTGGTAGATTGAAACGGCAACTATGGGTTGCACGTCCAGTGTAGGAAGCATTTACACCACGGCAGAGTATCCTCCTGTAATACCCAAACAATAATGAATGAATGTTGAAGAGCAGCCACTGCTGTTCCTGGTGCTGCTACCGAGGCAGCTGTGTATCAGTGTCAGGCCTCGTTTCCACGGATGTCACCAAGCTTGATGCAGCACTTGGCTGTTGAAATAGAGTCGCTCCCATGCTGAAGAGATCTTCCAACAGCAAGCAGGTCACAGGTGTGCATCAGCTCAAGTGGTGAGAGGTTTCTGACGAATCAGCCACTTGGTGAGGGCTTGGGTTAACAGCCATGATTCGGCATTTCTCAGTGTCCTGTGAAAATATTCTACCCCATTGACATTAGCATCGGGCATAGTTATGTGTAATGTAAATGGTTTTTGGTTGGTTATTGTGTTTGTATGCAATGATTGGCCTCGAAAGTAATTACAATTTTTTTTAAATTCTCAGTCACGATGTTTTTTATTTGTCTCATTTGTTCATTTTGGTTTTACGCTGCAGTGGCCTAAATATAACACGAGCATATGATTTGCATTATATTTGCATAAATTCTGAATAATTGATCATCAAGCACATGATTTAATGTGTGCATTGTGAGCATAAGAATATTTTAATCAACAAATCAATGCATTATTCAAGCCTATTAATAAACTTCCCGGACAACTGCGTGGAGTTTAAGAGAAAAACTGTCAATATGTTCGAATGAGATATTAACCTCTTGGCATAAACGCGTTGATATTTTAACTTTTTTCAGGCAATGCCCTATCTGAATAAAATTAAGGATCGTTAAAAACACATTGATCACATATACGTAAATATCATTTCAAAATAATATTCACATTACATTTGGACATTTTTCTCGCGTATCTTCCTTTTAAACCTTTATAACCCATCTCAATCACCGTTAAATAAATATTACACAGTATAATATTTATTAACAACACAATAGATTATTCAGCCAGACGGTATATGTAACGCCAACGGCCCTGGGTACTCAAACGCTTTCCTGAAATGTTTATATTGGAAACGCCATCAGGATGCAGGCACGCACACGTTAATATTTATTTTTGGATCTAACACTCAGTTTTCGCCGAGTACTGACACTATTTTGCGCGTTCAAACACTCTCCACAGGCTATCAGCTGAACAACCAGCTCTACCAAATAATCACGCTGCGTCACGCCGACGAGAACTTGAACATTGGCTTCGACAACTTCATCGCCTGTCTCATAAGGCTCGAGGCGATGTTCCGTTAGTATTCTCACACCATTGCGCGCACATGCTATTTTGTGCTCGTGAAAATTCTACTTTGTCACTGACCTGGCAGTGCGTCCGTGCTGTGCGGTGGATTTATTTTTGGTTCAGTGCCCTACTTTACGCTTGACCTTATTTACGGTTCTGCTTGGCTATCACTTTTGTGGTTCAGTGTATTGTTTTTTACTATGTGCAACATTGTGTTTGCTGTGAGTTAGACAGTGTGTATGTCTTGTGCTGAATTGTTTCATGAAGATAACTGTTGTGCTAATTCCACATAATGTATAATGAATACCTGTGTAATGCGGGCGTAAACGGCCCTCCGGAAGTGACGTCATGAGGGGAGGAGTTAGGTCACGTGGGGGAGAGGGGTTAAGCTATAGAGGGAGGGGAACCGGAAGAGGAGAGGGAGTGACGGGAGACCAGGAACGAGAGAGGCCACGTAGGGCGAAAGCGGAGGGTGGCGAGATCGCCACGGACATGGGGAGCGAGGATCGGCACCGTCGGCCAGCGGTGACCGACCCGAAGCAGCGAGGAGGCTGCAGTCAGCAGCGGGGCCGCATACGGAGTCAGCAGCGGGTCTGCATACGGAGTTAGCAGCCAAGAGAGTCTGCATATAGAGTTAGCAGTGGGGATCTGCACAGGGAGTCAGCAGCGAGTCTGCAGGGAGAGGAAGGAGGCTACAATAGCGACAGCAGCCGGGGGCTACAAATAGAGTGTCTACAAGAGAGTGCCGTGAGGGAAAAGACAAGAACCCAATAAAGGACACGAAGTCAGAGAGAAGCGTCCGAGTCCTTTATTACACCTGTATAATGGATTTCCCTTTGTATAGTGTGTGCAGTGTTTCTGTCTCGAGATATTTGGATGCCATGCAACCCCCTATGCTTCAATATGGAGCTGCCTCTGAGTGCTTGCTTTATGTCTGCATATGTATATACATATGCATCTGCAGGACTTGAGGATGTATAATATGTTCAGCTGCATGTATGGTTTAAACCTTGCCTTAACCAAAATAGGAATGTGGGCCCTTTAAGTATGTATATGTTAAGCTTTGTGTCAATCCACGACTGGATCGGGGCCTCCCCAAACTAAGGTCTGAGTACAGAACAAGAGTGGATTTTGCTGCCCTGCCCTCTGCTGCCCACTGCATAAACCTCGCAGTCCTATACCAACCTGTTTGTGTTTGGTGGTTACTTATCAAAACACTATCCGTGCACTATCAATGCTCAGCCCCACTTCGCTTTCGAGGCTTGACAAGACTGCGTGCATTCCGGGTGATTTGAACATGGGCGGCCCTTTAGTACCCCATTAAATACGGGCATTTGTTTTTAATCCTGTGTAAGGGTTCCAAACTGGATGTAATGTCGCACATGTCGAAATGGGAGTATAATTACAGTGCAAAGCCACCCACACGGGTCCTGCTTATCTCAGAGTCCTTACCGGTCAAGTGTGCCTGCGTACCTTACCAACCAGAGGCCTGGAATCCAGTTGCTTGCCCGCAATACCAACAAAACCACACATTTCCCTGGGGTTGTTTTTTGTAATTGTGCGTCAAGGTTCCCATATGTTTATGTGCATGCCTGTCGTTAAATTGTACAGTATTGACCGTGGCTTGCGTCCGCTAACCATTAAGGCTTGCTGAACACAAAAATACCAGTGGACTGACTTTCATGTAACAACGCTCTTGTTAATTTTCCGCTTATTTGTTCAAAATGTACCCGACCAACAATTCCATTATCATCTATTAGGAAGCCACTGGAATTACGCCCTTTTAAATCTATATTGAAAATTCATTTCGTGAGAACCGACTTTTGTGTTTGGCTTGTTGTTCTTCCCCCGCACCTCCGATAAGCACGGTTGGGTGCGTATGGTGCAAAAAAAGTTGAACATACATACATAAAGAGGCAATGGGTAATTAAATTTCGTGTGTTTTGTGCCTGTGCTTGACAAAGTGTGTGCTTTCTCTGTAAACAATTACCACTTCAAGACCACAGCGTTAACACTATGGTATGTGACTTTGATCTGCAGGAGCATTCAAGGCCTTTGATAAGGATGGGGATGGCATTATACGTCTCAACGTTTTGGAGGTGAGATGCAATCGTGCTGCATGTTAAAGTAAAAATGTGGATTCAGACAAAGGGAATATCTCAGAAATTTTAAAATGTGATACCTCCAGAAGGGGCTGAGCTGGGTAAGAGTCTGGGATTTAACTCATCAATGATTAAAGTGGCTTTTCAAGTACAGCGAGGTGATGGTCTCAGCTCAGTCAACGATGACGTTAAATGTCATATTTCACTTAATTTGGAAATTTAATACTCTTAGAATAAAAACATAAAACTAAGTTTTACATTTGGTGAACATAGCAGGGAATGTCAGATATTGCATCACTCTGAGTGTGGAGCAGAGGACGCACAAAATGATCTCATAAGTAGTTCGCTGACATCTCCTTCCATGAGCCATTTTCACACACTGAGTGCATGCATGACATTTAGATGTTTCTCTGTCTCATGTCATGATGCTGACAGCAAATATCCAAATGAAATTGAGAAAACCACAAGAAAATTGTCTCTCCGATCCAACAATAGTCTCGAGTTCTATACCAGCAGTGTGTCATGCCGGACATGACCCATTTCATCTCACACTTGACACCTAGTTTGCAAACGGCTGGAACAACTCGGCCAGCATGCAAACCTGGAGTAAAGGTGTGCAGATGTCAAATTTTATGTGAATCTGGCTTGTAATACTTTTGGGAGAAATTCATTGAAATGCCTCATGTTACCATATAAGCTGAGATTCTTAGCATGAGAGTAAACAATTTTTTTTATATAGATGTCATATTGTAATTGAAAATTGTTTAAGGCAGTTGTGTAATACTCTGCTGAGTGCATCGACATTTTAAGCAATCATCTGTACTCACTTGAACGACAAGGTGAAGTTGGATCTTTGTCCTGCGGCGTGCACAACAAATACAGCTTTCTGATGCATTAATTGACCATTTGCAGCCCAAATGTTGTGAATAAATAAACTTTCCTAACCGACATGCTAAAACATGCGAGAGCAAAACATTTACTGGAAATGCTTTCTCTCCTCCTATAATTGCCGGCCACAATGTGTTTTGATTACAGCCGGGGTCAGATTCACGCAGGGGCCTTAGGGGCTGCAACCGGGGCCTTTGGATTTACAGAACCCCCCAAAAACACAGATACTACATGATAGTATTTGAAACACAATACTACAGCACTATGATAAATCGTTTAGTGTCAGTTGGTAAATAAACCATAGCACCACTATATGCATTATTACCAGTTACGTATTGAACAAATGTTTGTTTTAACTTTGATTTAGCTTTACAAATCGTACATCACATTTAAAAGTTCAACCGAAATTGTCAAGGTTAACAACAATGGAGTGTTAGCATCGGGCGTAAATGGTGGTAAAACAGTCAAGAGAAGGAATGTAATATACAGAGGGGCCCTCCAAGCTATAAGGGGATCGCAGTGGCAAGATTTTCACTCCCTCGCCTGGTATACAGGAGTTCGTGGGTTCGATCCCGACCCTGACACCTGTATATTTGGAGTTTGCATGTTCTCCCCGTGGTCGCATGGATTTTTATTCTCCGGTTTTTCTCTCCACATTTGGAAAAATGCCTTTCGAGTATTTGGCTGCTATAGATTTCCACATCATACGGCACTTCGCCAAGCTATCTTTTGTGGTCATGTCGCCTATGAAAAAGAGCTATATAGCTCAGTGGGTCTTACTTGGTAAAATAAATATATTATAAATAGATAATTTATTTTGTTTATTAGAGCCTCGGGCCCCCCATCAAACGTAATGCAGCCCTGAATACACAAATAAGGTTCGCTCCTGCAGACGCCCAATGCATACAATTTAATTTAATGCCGATTTGTGTTTTCTTGTTTCCTATTTAGTGGCTCCAGCTGACAATGTACGCGTAAGAAGAGATCGCAGTGTGTTGCCGAACCACAGACATGCAATGAGTGAACAAAGAAGGCTCAAAGTAGAGGAATGCGACCTTGGGAACTTACGTGGCATTCATCATAGTTCTATCGGTGTGAGAATGCATTCATGTTTATCTTGTTTCAAAACAACAATGCTCACAACACAAGTCACGTCTCTCTGTTCATTGATGTATTATCACGTAGCAGCATGCTGTGAATATACCTTTAGGAGTATTTGGTCTGTGTGAAGAATCTTCAGGGCCTCGCTGCTGTCGGAAGTTTATGCAAAGGCTATCGTGGCAAGAGGTCACACGTTTGGCACAATGGTCCTTCACTGACTATGCGTGATGAATGAAGAATCTTCACCTGTAGGTACCATTGTAGGAAAATAAAATTCAAATAGAAGCTTGTAATGTACGTATGTATATTGAACTTCTTTCGCGCCGTACGTAGCCAACCGTGCCCTACCTTTTTGTACTAAAGTGCAAGGAGGTTTATTGCATGATCCAACTTGCTTGCAGTCTAAAATTGACAGAATTAAATTTCGGAGCATGTGTCATATTGTAGCCGAGTGATTGTGGTTGCATATCTTGTGTGCGATGCAGCATCTATCATGGTCACTGTAATACAGTTTGTATTGTTAAACATCATGGTGATACGGAGGTTTTTCTGTTTCCCATAAATAGAAAATAAAAAATTCAAACGACAAATCTCAGCGATGATTTATGCTAATTGAATATTATGAGAGGTTTATAATGTGACCTTCTGGTCTGTTGATTTTGCAAAAGGGTGGTAAATGGCAAATGATTATTCAGCAGCAGAGGGAAAAAATGCACCTGCCCTTTTCATACTATAATTTGTCATTTTTTTATGCTCGACACATGCCACTTAAAAAGAGATGAACATGCCACTAGGAATTGATCATGCATAAACTACATTGTGACCTAACGTTTGTCAATCACATTGCAGAGCTTCATTGTCTAGAAATTACTTTCCTTCATGCACATAAATATATAATCAGCCATGGTCAATCCACTGGTGGATGAAGGCCTCCGCAAGTTGCCACCACCTATTACGATCTTGTGATACAATGTGGCACCTAACACCTGCTGCCTGCACAAAAACTAGGATATAAATGAATAAGATCATGTTTTTGCGTGAAATTTATCCCTTTGGTCTTCACGGATAATGCATTTTTTTTGTCTGACAAAATGGACAATACTCGAATACTTCTGTGTTTTCCGGTTTAGTTATGTAACACTTACATTTACGAGTGGGCAGCACTTACTCTAGCTTTTTTTCAGAATTTAAATTGACTGTCATATAATGCACTTGCCAAATAAGCCATAAAATTGCCTTAAAAAATATTACAGTTTTTGTTATGAAGAGTATGACCCCTGCATATTAACGTCAGTGTAATACAAATGAAGATCACGGTACATGCAGAAATAGCTTACAAAAAATAATATACACAATGATGATTTTACACACGCGTCAGTCACTGTAATGAATGATTTTTTTAAAGACTATATAATTTACGTAGGCAGTCAAAACCAAAACAAAAAACATTTCAGCAGTTGGTGTGGTCACGATGAGTAATATAGTTTAGTCAAGAGTAGGATTATATCTTTCACAAACAATCCCAAACCGGTCGAGCAGGTAGGCATGGCAAGGGCTGATTCCATAGGAAGTATCGAGTGGCAGCCTATTAGCCGCCCAGACTTGTAGCCACATGGCCAAGAGGGGAGGAGAGTTAACATTTAGAGATACAGTAAATCGAAATTTATTTAAGGCCTGCACTATATGTTTGCTGTACAGTATTCTTATGCGTTTTCACCCGAATCGACGGGTTTTTTCCCACTTAGCAGTAAGAACAGCGACAAGAATGGCACAGAGAAGCTTGCTGTCTCAAACACTTCCATCCGCCTCTCCACGTATTTCCTTTCTGCGGACCGGTTTCAACCCTTCTGGGTCTCATCAGGGGCGGCGTGTGGCGAGTTGAATAATGTGCATGACGCTGGGTTGCCACACGTTATCGGCAACCATCATCCACTTTAGCTATAAGCTGCTCGCCTACGCTTACAAAACCCTCGGCTCTTTGCTATCGGCAGAAACGGAAGGGCATGTGCGTGGCCGAGGCTGTGACTGCCTAGAAGAATGACGGAATGTGTCTTGTGCTACATTAATCCGCCATGCAAATGCCAGTGCTGGGGATGCCTGTGTAACTTTAGAGCCAACCCGGATGCCTGTTTAAATACTGTAACACACACGTGCTGTTTACATTGGGCAGAATGATCTGGAAATGATTTTTTTTATAGCCGTCAATTGTTTAAATTCACCATGCCAGGTTTGAAAATCATCCATAATGTGCATGCACTGTTTATGAAGCCACACTTCATGTATCTTGTAAATGTTTGATACGAAGGAATTCCATTGCCTTTGGGAAGACATTTTTGCCAGCTTGGCTGACAATCGCACATCACAAATCAATGACGGAGTAGGGCATATTACCTTTATATTACCTTTTAAATCCTAATTTCTCACAGCATACTTGCTAGAGACATGTCCTTTAAAGATCAAGGGCTGGAATTGACCACTCACATTAAAAAGCCGATACAATGTTACAACATCCTATCATTTTTTTGTTCAGGAATTACGAGGCTATATGGTACACACAGAGGACTTGCACAAATTTGGAAATTTGAGGCAATAGAAATGCAATCCTCTATTGAGAAGTCATTTGGATTGACACATCAAGTACACGTGCATATAATCAATGTGTGAATGAGTGATTAAAATGTAGTCGTGAATTGAACAGAGGAGAATGTATTAATCATTGTTATTTGCCGCATATTAATGCAAATCACACCTACCAAAAGCCATAAAGAATGGTTGTTTGGTATCATATTTTTTAAAAATGAGTTTTGGTTGGCTTCATTTTTACCAGCTGTTGGATGTAATTGGATCTTAATTGCTTCTGACCAGCTGTTATACTGTTTAAAGTGTAACGTATAATCACTGTACAGTATATGCACTACCGTAATATTATGCATTCAACTTTGCTTCCCATATTTAACCAGATTAGTTTCCAACGGCATATAGCCTATGCAATACAGAAGTGAATGACTCTATCCGTGAAAATTAAAACAATAGGCGAAATAAGTTGTAGCTTTTGAATTAATTTGTCTCATAACACCAGACAATGACCTACACTTGGCAATCTTGTCATATGCTCTTGACCATCCAATATATAGCTACAAACTGGCCCAGTGGTAATTCCAACGCAAAGCTACTGCTCTCTCAATATATGTGTAATGAGTTCAACCAGGGTTGCGATTTCCGCATGGAAAATGCGGAAGGAGGGTTCAAATTTTCCCGCATTTTTGCTAAAGTCAACCGCAAACGGTGGAAAGACTACTCCTATGACCGCGCGCTTTTAACAACACGTTAATGCGTTCTATTGGAAAGGATACATCATGTACATGTGCTCGTAATGACGGCTCCGCATTTGAATAAAGTATGTGGTTCTTGTGCGGAAATGCGGAAATCATATATTCATTCCAATCAGTAACTCAAAGCCCTACGTGATGCTGGGCCTTGCATGTATCCTTTCCAATAGAACGCATTAACGTGTTGTTAAAAGCGCGCGGTCATAGGAGTAGTCTTTCCACCGTTTGCGGTTGACTTTAGCAAAAATGCGGGAAAATTTGAACCCTCCTTCCGCATTTTCCATGCGGAAATCGCAACCCTGAGTTCAACTGAGTCGCAGACGTAGACTTGGAGGCAACACATTTATTCAACTCCAACACACGGGGTAATTCTCCCCTAAACAGAATAACAACCTATGGTGGTGGCCACCAGGCTAACTACACTAATTACAACGTAACTGCCACTACGGACCGGGACCAAGAGCTCGGGTCCAGGTCCACGTGTTGGAGACTCGTTGAACGGAGAACGTAGACGAAGGTTTCTTCCAGGATGAACCACAATCCCGGTCCCTATCGGGACCCGGCTTATATTCTCTGCGGTGTGGCCGCTTCCGCCCTTGGCCACGACCACCTTCTCGAATCTTCGGGAAGGATCTGGGTTCCAATTACGTGACCACCCCTAGCCTCCTCTGGGGGCCTCTTTGTAGACTTAACTGGTCACGTGTCCTCCCGGGTCCACCAGAGTGCCATGGCCTCGAGTAACCTCATCCTTCGGCAGGCACTCGCACACCCTGTCCTGTAGGGTTGGCACTGCACGCAAAGCGTGGTGTCATCCAGCGCTATCAATCAGGGGTCACCGGGCCCCTCTCGGGCCGGCACTGCAAAACATTTATCTGGAGGGCCAACATGCTGATGGAGTTAATATTATTTCACGTGGAGAGATACGCGTGTCCATTTATTTATCTACGTAATTAATAATAATAAATGACAGCCCTTTGTTAATTTACTGGTGTATGAAGACATCGACGCACTGCAGTCATGAGAGTTGTTTGATCACAATTCACCAGTTCAGATATCACTATCTGCTGATGTTCGTGGTGGCTGGGAAGTCAATTCTGTTTTCCTGGGTTCAGAGCTCCGTGCAGGAACCACGGAGCCACCCCTACACCCCTATCAATATATCTGTACTGCATAAAATGAGTTCCAACGTAAGCTGCAATTTCTTAAATAGAAAAAACTGTTGAGTGGTGACTATTGGTAATGATTAACACGTACGTGAACCAGGTGTGTACAGGAGGACCTTTTAGTAAAGGCGTTGGCTTTACCAATACGTGCGTATGTAGGTTAAACCTCTTTCGCACCGTACGTAGCCAACCGTGCTAATCGGAGGTACATAGTTAGAGCTGCTATGCACATGGTGTTCTACAATGTGAAACGCCAACATTTATTTCTCAAATGGGGGCAACGGTAAGTGTGAATGATTCACATTTGCGCAAAGCATACTGCTCCTCGCAGTGCTGACATTTTATACCCGTACGTTTAATCTAAAACCAAAGCCACAGGGTCTATGTTTCTCAAGCTTGACTTAGGAAGGCTCAGAGCTTCCGTCTCGAAACACAAGACAGATGAACAAACTTTGTCTCCCAAGCGCTTGTGCGAGTGCCAACTTGAGATGGCATGTGATCCTGAGAGAGTATGGCAAGAGGGCTCAAGGGAAACCATCAATCTGAGCAGCGCTGCCCTCTGTGCCCTTTAATACGTTGCTGGCGATGACCCGATTACGGACTCACACAACCGCCATAAAATATTTTCGTGAAACAATTCAACCTCTGGCTCCAGTTTTTATGGTGAATGATGTGCCTTGCACTGCACATTCTATTGCACAAGGGCATCTGGCCCCAATGGAAGTTTTCCGGGTGCCTATAAAAATCGCCTTTAGGCTTAGCGTGGTAACAGCTGAAATCATACAGATGATAATACGATACAATTCGACTGTTGAAACTACATTTAACGTGATTTCTTGGCCGAAGAAAAATATCAAGTTCATTTTCTGTATGATAAAAGGATGATAGTATGATAGCAAGCAAGCATGCCATGTCAACTATATTTACAATGGTGTCGATATTTTCAATTTCTTCTCTGAAAACCTACTGCTGTCTGAAGGCCTTTAAACCATGGGGGTTAGCGAAGTGGTGGCCGAAGAGTGGTTCTCATATCAGTCACCAATTATGTTCGCCATGACCAAGAATCAAACGCAGTTCGCTGGGTTCATAGTGCAGTGCATGAACCACTG